ACTTCATCCCACTATTTCCTACTCTACTCTTTGATAGGAGTTGTACTGCTATCATCAACCTATTCCGAAGAATCCCATCTGCCACAACTATCCTTCTTCTCCCATCTTCGATCGGTCTCTATTTGGATCGCCCATAGAATTCGGTATGCGGTTTGGTTCATGATACACTCAGTTACAATCCATAACAAAGGGACAAGCTTTTGAACGATACCATTTCCATTAATCTCGCCGTCGAAGAGATGTTTCAAACATTTAGTGGCAGTTCTCGCAGACCTAGACAAGTTAATCTTTCTGGTCAAAATCCAAATCCATTCGCTGCCAGTACCTGGAATTCCTCGGCGTCAGCTTCTGGTGCTCAAAAGACAGTGGCACATGCGCAACAAGAGAGGGAGCAACGTCAGAGGGAAAGAGAAAGACTTAACGCTTCGAAGAAAATTCAGAGAGTATGGAGGGGTCATAGAAGTAGAACTCAGCTTGCGGATGCAAGAAGAGAACAATACAAGGCGGCCTATAGTCCTTGCGAGGGAGAGAACGATGATCTCGTTCCACTGGAGCAATTAAAGCTGTTGGTGGCGTTTTGCAACCCCAAGCGCGACGATGATGTAGCCCAATTGTCGGCACTTGGAAGAAAGTTCGTTCATAACAATAATACCAGACTCATATCCCAAGCAGAGTATGGACCATATCTCTTCAAATTAGCAAAACTCACACTCAGCGCTCTCATACAGTATGTATCCCCCCAACGTGTTGGTCACTGATGGAATCCTGACACGTTTAATAGTACTTTGCCCAGCTACAACAGAGTTCTTTTCAGGCTCATGTCGAACATATTAGTGCAGAATGGAAATATACTGTCACATATTGCGATTCCATATTATGACTTTCTTTCGAACGCTGTAGTTGGGGGCAGTCTTTCCGATGAATGGCGTGCGGAGCTTGTCTCGGCAGTATTATCTCCTCTCCAAGTATCTCCGTCAGTGCCGGGTCAATCACCTAGTAAGTTTCCCTAGCACCTCTTTTTATCTGTATCCTAATCAGTATAGGTAAAGCCTCATTAGATGTCTATTCAGCAATGGCATCTCGATTCCTTACCATTCCAGATTTAGAGTCTAGGCTTGGTGGTTTACAGGTACTCGCATCTAAAATGAGTGGTAATCATCTAGCTGCCGCTATAGTTCGTGACTACTCAAGCATTTCTTCTTCGCAGTCAAACCCAGAGGCAAAGCTATGGTTGCTTGCCCATTTTATTGCAATATACCATATGCAAGAGCATCGTGAAGAAGAATCTGAGCTACTAAGCGCCCTGTCCTTTCAATTGTCGGCGTGCTCAGTCGATCTCGTTGGCAGGATTGATGGTCGCAAACCAACATCCAATAATTTTCAAAGAGGAGAACGTGAAGAAAGTGAAGATCAGTCTGATAACAATTTGCCCATATTCATAAGCAATCAGTTATCGTCTTTGTTAGATAAAGAGTCAATAACTGGGCTACTCAGAAAATTTAACATAGATTATGCCAAAGGATCGACGGCGGGGCAGGAAGACGCCAGCTTCTTAGCAAGTTACGCTCTTACCCTGCTACGAATTTTTCCGGATCGTGCCGATGAAATTCGAATGTGGCTTTGTTCTAGCTCGATGACAACTTCGAATGGAAATGAGGTATTAGCTCTCAAATTTCTTTGGCAGGCAATGAGTTCAACGAGCACTTTCAAAGCTATCATGGCTGATTCGAGAGCTGCATTGGAAATCCTTCAATACCAAAAACAGCACAGCAATGACCCATCTCAAGAAGTTATATCAAGAGATCGAGAGTGGAGAACCATTCTTCTTTTCTTAGAACTTTACACGTTCGTCTTAAAGTTTATAGATGACGAGGACTTCCTCGGAGGTAGCACAGACTCGAATCAAGCGGGTGGAACCGTCTCAAAGATTCGAGGCAGTGCACTCTCATTGGAAGCTGTTGAGAAACTCACCCTTTTCCTGAAGAATATCTCGTTTACCACTTATTACAATGCTGCTGAACTTTCGGGTGATGATAAGTCTGTTATCGAGGGTGGCTTAGGCACCTATTTCGGCATCAACAACGAATTCGCAAAAGATAGAAAATACGCTTCTGGTGAGAGGCAAACAACAAGCAACTCGAGTTGGCCATTCGCAGGTATCTCGGGCATGACGTTTTACTATTTGCGAACCATTGTAATCGGGGTTATGCGTATGATTTATGAGCGAGATTCAAGACGACGATTTCTACCTAAAGATCATTGGCTCATGACGGCGCGTTTTGACATGAAAGGCTTTATTTTTGATGTTATCAAGGAGCAAGAAAGGCGACAAGAGGTTGGCGACGGCGAAGGAGCTGAAGCCGATTTTGAAGAAGATGCAGACGAGTACGAGCCAGTTCAAAGTCTCATGCTGGGTCGTACAACTCGGCCAAGCCAATTGCTATCTCAAATGAGACAGCAGGATCTGTTAAGAAAGCATCAGCAAAAAATAAACAAGAGGAAAATTATGGCTGCTGTCGGGCCCAGGATTGAGGTGCTACAAAATATGCCATTTGCCATTCCCTTCGAAACTCGTGTTGAGATATTTCGACAGTTCGTCATGATGGATCAACTCAGGAGGCGGTCGGGAGTTATCGATCCGGATTCATGGCGCATGCGAATGGCAAATATGGCACAAAATCGACATGCCGCACGAGAAACGCTTGGCAGACATCATGCATCGATTCGTCGAGAGTCTGTATTTGAAGATGCATTTGAGGCATTCTTCCCACTTTCAGAAGGCCTCAAGGAGCCAATTCAGATCACCTTTGTTGACAGCTTTGGTGCTATTGAGGCTGGTATTGATGGCGGCGGAGTGACGAAAGAATTCCTTACCAGTGTTACTAATGAAGCATTTCGTAGTCCCCTAGATTACGGTAGTAATCCATCACTTTTTGTCACGAATGACCAAAATCTACTCTACCCTAATCCGACAGCCGTGGAGCAAGACTATGAATTCTTGAGATCAATTGGGATAAACGAAACGAGTCCTGATTGGAGGACACATAGTGTACAGCTGCGTAATCGCATGAACTTCTTGGGCCGCATTGTAGGAAAATGTTTGTACGAAGGTATTCTCATTGACATTAATTTTGCTGGGTTTTTCCTTCTCAAATGGTCCGCTGCAAATTCTGGCCCAGAAGCAGCAAGCCGTACTAATTTGAACGATCTACGTGATCTTGATGAAGGATTGTATCAAGGGCTGCTAAAACTCAAAAACTATCCCGGAAATGTCGAAGATTTCTCACTTGACTTTACCATAACCGACACGATTCCCAACGGCATGCCTAATGGCCGCCCCAAAGTCATCACCCGAGATCTTATGCCCAATGGCTCTAATATACCCGTGACAAATGAGAATCGTCTCCTCTACATTGCTTATGTCGTACGCCACCGTCTCCACATTCAGCCCTATGAACTCACGCAGGCTTTCCTTCGCGGTCTCGGTCAAATCATAAATCCCTCCTGGTTGAGCATGTTTAACCAAGTTGAACTTCAAACCTTGATTTCCGGTGAGACGTCGGATATCAGCATCAATGATCTACGCAAGAACACACAGTACGGCGGTGTGTATCAGATCGGCGACGATGGACGCGAGCACCCAACGATCATGATGTTCTGGCAGGTCATGGAAGAATTCAAAGATGAGGACAGGAGAAAGGTGCTCAAATATGTTACCAGTACGCCAAGAGCACCATTATTAGGATTTGCATCATTAAATCCGCTGTTCAGTATTAGGGATAGCAGCTCAGATGAGGATCGACTACCCAGTGCAAGTACGTGTGTCAACTTACTGAAGTTGCCAAGGTATCAAAGCAAAGAGAAATTGAGAGAGAAATTGCTGTATGCGGTCAATGCGGGGGCTGGATTTGATCTCTCGTGATCTGAAAATATGAAGAGGCTATGGCAGGGGATAAGGAAAGTCTGGGAGTTGGAAAGGAGAGGAGTGAACAAAGAGGAAAATACTAATGACGCAAATGATAAAAGCGATGCGATGATTGATGATCAAGGAATATACTTACAACATGCATGGCCCTGGCGTTCTTCTATTTTTCGTTCCAGTAGAGAGCTTTTTAATAGTGGAATGGACGGGCTGGAATCGAATGAACTGTATGATTACATAGGGTTGAATGGGAAAACCTTCTAGATCACAAAAGCTTGCATGTGGTACACTGATTCGTTGATTGGACGTGTGTTGAGAAGACGAAGATGAATGATGGTCTATCTCCTTGTTGCGAGAATGGATGGATATATCATGTATAGATATGGAATAGTTTGCATTACATTTCTTTCTTACACATTTGACACTGGACTATTGACGTTTGAAAAGTGGTATGAGGTTTTCGGGTCATGTTTAGGACATAAATTTCATTTCAAAAATTCCACGATCCTATTTCATTCATGATGTGTTGCTTGTCTCGTCTGGTATATATATCTACAGGCAACATGCGCGTGTGGGCTTACTGGAATTATGATATTTACAAAAATAATATGATGGAGATAGACTTGATGGGTATTGGCTACTTGGTTTGCATGTACGGCTCGGTTTTTACTGACTTGTGATATATTGTTACAATTTATAGTATTTTATCCATACTGTTTTCCTATCTTTCCGTTTTCCCTTCAGTCTATCACCACTCCTCGAGCAGTGTGTAGTAGTAAAGTGAGCATGCTGACGAAGCTCCCCTCAGACCTAACGAAGTACATAATTACACCATCGAATTGACCGAACTGCACATTCTTATGATCGGAAATGAAGCTGAGATGATGAAGTACAGGACTATAAAAAGGACACGAGAGGCAGCATGTACGATCCAATTCCCGTGAACCTGAAAAAGCTACTCAAATCCAAAAATCACACGTCGAAGCAATTGTACACGTGATGAATGGATGTGACAGGCGCTATGCCATTATTATCCATGCCCTCTTCTGGAATTCTTCGGAATTTTTCTAGCCTCGTTTCATTTCTCAAAATAGAAGAGGAGATGCTTGTTCATCGTTTCGTCTTTGCCATCATGAGCTTTTTGTCCTTCGGGTTTGTTTGATCTGTTCTTTTTATAACCTGAAATTTGCTTCAGAGCGGATGTTGGTAACCAGGTTATTATCTTAGGCCCTAAGTTGCTACATGATTTTCTTTTGGGATTTCGGGTGCGGTTTGAGGAGTAGAGTTCGGGCAAGTAAAGGACTGACTGATCGTGTTCGGAATGTGTGAACTTGTGAAATGCTATCCGTTTACTTGACAATCCACTAGCCAACGGACGAACAATTTTTCGTGGACCCGCACTGCTTTCGGTTTTACAGCTTTGCAACGCTTGATACTTCGGGGACATTAACACGCATTCTGAGTAGAAATCATGGCAGAATGAAAGGGACCATTTTGAGGTTGAATAATGCGATAGCTGCACATGTGGAGTTGCAAGATACTTTGCGTATTTCGGGGTCCAAAAAAGGTGTTCTCAGACCTAACACGGCTGGTATGATGTTGGTGACGTTGACGAGTGGATTTGTCTCTGCTGGCCGTGCGCCTGTTGTTGGGAAGCAAGAGAAGGAGCTAAGGCGACATGTATGCTAAGGACGACAAAAGAGATTGTGACTTACCTGTGTCAGTACATGAGGCTAACGATGCGGTTGGCATTCGGAGAGCTAATGCAAGACCTCCTTGACCTCCTTGAGGCACTAACTTTGGAATGTAGCTGCAGAGACTGCTCGACATCATACTGCACAAGCTTGCTTTGCTGTCCGACTTCGAATCATACTATCAAGACACGCTGGCTTGCCTCGTATGCAAAGCATAAACTCTCATTCTTGAACGGCGAAAGTTCGGATTTGTCAATGTCTGCTAGCACAGAGGAAAGAGGCATCAATTGACGAACTCCATGTAGGGGGCTGCATCTTTCTCTACCACAACGTGGAATTTAGCCAGCTAGAACACATGAATTGGTGAGATCTTTCAAATGGTCTATCGCGTCTCCTGTCGACGATTTAGCAGATGTGCAATTTCTATCCGAAAATCCCATTTTCTCAATGCCCTCCACTTCTGACCTATCTACCTACCGCGGCTCGGGCCGCAAGGTGATTGAAGCGGGATCGCTCTGAGCAGGCATTCGCATCGACGATGCATTTTTGGATGCTATTACGAGATTATGACCAATGGGTTCGACTACTGTACTAACATTTTCACTACCTACTTGGGTCTCTCAAACATTCTCGTCCGTCTTTGATATTGGGCACAAATTCAGTTCTTTAAGCTTTTCTTAACCTTCTCCAGCAAGCTAGTACGATGTAGACGCACATTAAAGTTCCAGTCAGGTCAAACATCAAAATGTCTAATGAACCTTTTAACCTTATCGAGGGAAGGGTTGTAACTTGTTTCTTCTGAGACAATCCACCCCACGAGAATCCTTGTCTGGATGCAGATAATGAGAAAAGTTAGTTTTCTGCCATTTCGTAACAATTGGAGATTACAAGGATGACCCACCACTCTCCGATATTCGGTTCGTCTCCATGCATCCTGCACCACGTTTCACACAGCAGCAGAGTGCCCAAAATGGCAAACATGCATCATGGAGCAGGTTGCTTTCTCATGCAGAGTAGATTGTCGAGAGCACCACATTTATGTATAGCCCGTCCACTGTTTCTCTGTAGCCACGTTCTCTCCAATCTATTCGTGACTTCCATCATTCGGTATTGAAGATCTCATTCTATCCTGTATCTGTACCTGTACGTGGCCACAGTCCAACTCAATGGATTTCTCTGTGCATTTTTCACGACCCACGAGATACCATGGTCAATTCTCAGACTAACATTTTCCTCACGACACTAGCTCCATAGGGAAATTTATTCCTGGATTCGAGAAATCGGCAGAAAGGCATCGCCATGACTATCCCTACTTTGAAATTGAACACCGGTGCCCCAATACCGGCTTTGGGATTTGGTACTTTTCACAATGAAGGATCCCCAGGGAAGTGCCACGATGCTGTACTTTGGGCTCTACAATCAGGTTATCGCCATCTAGATTGTGCTTGGTAGTAAGTTCAACCCCTATGTCTCATGTTTATCCGTTCATCCCAACTGTGCACTCGATATCTCCTGGGCTCATCCCTTCTCTCTTCCCACTAATCTTCACCCCTATTCCTTGGAGAAGGGGGTGCCAAAGTATCGGAAAAATAATCTTCGTATTGCAATTCCGAGCTCTGAAACTAACACACCGCAGTTACAAAAATGAAGCAGAGGTTGGGTCTGGCTTGCGTGAATTCTTGTCCAGTAACCCAGGTGTCAAGCGTGCCGATATCTTCATCACCACGAAAGTGTGGCCTCATTTGTGCGGTTCCCCTGAAGATGTCGAGTGGAGTCTGAATTACAGTTTAGAGAAACTAGGTGTCGATTATGTGGATTCTTTCTTGATGCATTGGCCATTCGCCGCGGAGAGGACCGAAGACTATGAAGTCAAGATCGGAGATGATGGAAAGGTATAATCCACCAATTGATGTTGGAATCTATTGTTCTCAAGTCTGATAACCCTGAGCAGTACATCATCAATAAAGAAGTCACGGCTAACTTGGAACCTATCTGGCGAAGATTTGAAGTTCTCAACAGAGCTGGCAAGGCCAAAGCCATCGGAGTATCCAATTTTACCATCTCAAACCTGGAAGCTCTCCTTGAGTACGCGGATATTCCTCCCGCCATCAATCAAGTCGAGACTCATCCCGTCTGGCCTAACACTAAGCTAATCAACTACTGCTTTGCAAAGAACATCCTTCCCGTGGCATATTCGCCACTGGGATCCCAGAGCCAAGTTCCCACTACAGGCAAAACTGTTATCCAAAACTCTGAACTCATCTCAATCGCCGAGAAGAAGGGTGTTAGTATAGGTCAGATATTGATTGCCTGGGGTATCAAACGAGGATACGTGGTCCTTCCCATGAGTTCGAATGAGGGGAGAATCAAAACCAATGGAACCTTAGTCGACTTGACTGAAGAGGAGTTCGAAAGCATGAATAAAGTTTCTGAGGGCAAAGAAACAAGGTTCGTGGATTTGAGAAACACCTTCGGGTGGGAGGTATTCGGGGATGAGTAAGGAGATAGCCAAGCAGACAATTGGCCGTGGCATGGTGTCCGCTCGTATCGTTCGATTCCGCGTAGCGCAAAGCATCATTCTCATATTCGTTGAAATTACGATGCGTATACTCATATACGTGAAGCAAGTACTGCGAAATAAGCTGATCTGACCTCTCGTGATGTTCTCAAGTGCATATGCTATTTGGCTGTCTCTTAACTCTGCATTATTAGTTATCATTAGCGCTCTATGGCACAGTCACCACTAATGTACATATCATATTATATTCATCATATCACATTATCTCTCCCAAAGTTAAGAAAATTCTTCAAATCCTAATCTTATCTCATCTCGCCGAGTTTTCTGCATCAGCATTTACTGTCTTGCCAAACTCTTACCTGCATCCCATGAACCACTGTCCTGGAACCAAAAGTCGGTGAAGATCAAACCCTGCGCGAAATCCTTATACAATCTAAAAACATATCAGACTGATATGTTTTAGATTGTCCGAGTGCTCGCTGTACTATGACGAATGGGTACTCCGAGTGAACGACATGATATGACATCGTTCGCCTTACCCGTGTGTGCATCAGGGTATTGGACGGTAGTAGTTAGATTATTGTAGCAATTATTGAGGTGTCTAATTATCAGCGATTGAGTTTTGTCAGAGGAAGAAGCTGGTATTTTGCTATGACAGTCATTAAAATCGCACCAAGAATCGTGTAGTACCACACCTGCGACTAATTGTCAAATTTCCGAATCAGCGGTACAACATATCAAGGTTAACAATATTAGCCATGGCATGTTAATGAGAAACCCGGGACTCGGAGTAAGACTCCACCCGCTCATCCTTTTTAAAATTACAATGTTCCTACCGCTGAAAATCTGGGTACAATCGGTCGTCTATCATTTGAGATACTCATCATCTATGGTATGAGAACCTCTTCGCTGCCACCAGTACCAATCATCGAATCGACAGGGAGAGCACCGAAGAATAACGAGTATATGCACAGTCAAATTGTCTGAGTGGTTGGTCATCCGGTGACTCAATGTCCCGAGCGATCTCATTTTATCTCCCTGCTGGCTCGCATTACATATAGATACATCTATATCATTCATATATGCATGCATTTACGAGTGTATCCGTCCGTACCGTGTCATAGAAGGTGCAATACCTATCTCCCAGACCCCAAACGCCATACCACGCCAAGAGAAATACAAATGAACCGGACTCCGCCTCCCACGGAATGCACAAGGGAACATGAGTGCATAATCTGGAAGCCTACGCTGCTGAACAAACCGAGCAATCCGAGTATCATCCATGACTGCAGATACACATGCATGTGATCGAACCTTCTAAAGCAGATATTAGGGTCGTACTAGGCATCTAGATTGGAGGCCGTAGTAAGGCTATCACATTCATCATCAATCACATCGCTTGCCATCTTCATCTCATGCCAATATTCAATGCTGAACCGAATGCTAAACCGGTTTCCTGTTGATCGCTCGTAATCCCCGTCGCCGAGTTGCGTGCGCTAGATCAAGTAAGAGCTTTGTGAATGCTGGATCGTTGTCCATCCTTCTTCAGTATCAATTTGATTAATGATGGAATGGCAGATAGTAACAGATCCTAGATGGTAGTCCTACCTCTAAACTTCCCCTCTTCTTCCTCTTTGGAAGCTTCCGTCTCTTCCGTATTCTATTGAACCAACTCCGTCTCCTCTTTTTCCTCAACGACAGCATCATTAATTCATTCGCAATCAGTCAAACAAGCCCTAAACTCAACACTCCCTCTCGAACAACAAAATTCCATCACAAGACTCCTACTTACCAATAATTCGACCAAACCCCCATACATATAAATACACAAATTCCAGTCTGCAAATCAAACATCACCACCTCCCATTCAAGAAATCACATCGGCCCCTCAACATCAAACTTCAAACCCCCATACATACCATGTACACATGTGTAAAAATCTCCGCAGAAACCATATGCTCGCACTCTCACATCGAATCAGCCTCGATACCAAAGCCCCACATACAACGGTACGCCATCTAAGTGGTCCGTCATGCCCTGGCTTTCCTCTGACGTAAGGCTATAAGCAATATGCGCTGCACCCCTCTATTCGTTTTCCCCTCTTGATATGTATGCTGTAGCACGTGTTTTCCTTCTTCCGTAAGCCGAGCATACTTGCCATTGCACAATCAAATATTAAGGGTGTTCTTCGTGCTATACGTAAAGAGGACTTTATCTTGTATTTCCAAACACACGCAGCTAGCCAGCTCTAGAACGTTTAGATTGACAGAGAATAAAGTTGAAGAAAAATCATAATGCAAGACACAACATCAAGAAGTTATGTAAATTCCGAATTTTCATTTGTGAGATTGCCTTAAATATCGAACTGATGAAAAGTACAGTAGATCCTTTATGAACGAAACAAAATCAGTAGTGGATATATAGCCTAAAAGTAACTGGAACAACTCCAATCCAGATCTTCCCGCATGCACAGTGCAACCCTAGTACGTAAAAACATCCCAACGTATCATCAAAGAAAAACGAACCCCAAACCCCAGAGAATCCGAGAGAAGAGAGATATTTCATCCCGGGTATACATCGTGAAAAAAAAAGTGAAAAACATAGTGATGAAAACTCCCCTCCGAGAAAAAAAAACATAAACCTAAACCTAAAAAGTCTATAAAAGTAGTGAGGGGATAGGAAAGAAACAAATCAAAACGATTGGTATTGGTATCCCCGCTGTGCTTGCATCAATCAATCTTGGTATAATGAAGAGCGAAAAAAAAAACATGTGAAAAGGAAAATCAAAATCAAAAAAAATAATCAGAAAACTTTTCGTCTCGTCTTAATTCCTCGTATCCTTTAATCCGAACTCACGCTCGAATTCGATGATTCTGAGGTTTCGGAGGATTTATCATCGTGGAGGTGGGCTTCCCATTCAGCGACCGACATGGGTTTTTCCGTCATGGCTGCCAAGCGGAAAAGGTGGCGCGCTTGAATACGGGAATCGTAGTCTACGGTTGCGGTGTCTATATTCTTCGTTAGAATGTGTTTGTTTCCAAAGGGAACAGATAGTGAGAAGGGTAAAACATACGTAGAGTGCTTCGTCCATCAAACATAACCACCGAGTGTTTTTCCCACCCCACTCTCGCCTGGAAATCGTGGCCCATACAAACATGATCCACCAAGAATTTCATCAGCATTTCCTTCTCGCCATCCTTGAGCCCGACAATATCGGTCAAGAATTCCGAGTTGAGATAGAGCGCTTTTTCGCCCGAGACGGGATGCACGCGAACGATTGGGTGCAGGGAGTCGATCGGGTCGGTTCGGACAGTTCCTCGGGCGGCGCGCGCATAGCCAATCATCTTTTGCGAGGAATGGGTTGCCTTGAGGTCCTGTATCATGGTGCGGAAGGTGGGCGAGAGGCGTTTGTAGGCTTCCACCGTGTCGGCAAACACGGTGTCACCACCAACATCGGGGCATGCTAATACTGGCTAGGTGTTAGAAATTCCGAAGTCTGTGGTTAAGAATAGAAACTTACTGCCAAGCATAATATATCCAGGAGGCTGTTTTTCGTAGCTGACATCGTGGTGCCAGAGTGTGGAAGTCAATTTCTTCTGGAAGAAATTTGCGATTTCCTCTTCGTTGTGATCGCGATGAATGACATGGAAAGGAGGGTGTCCCTTGACAGAGCCAGATACAGGCTGAATGCTTAGTGGTCCGAAATAGGACATGAAATCTTGTTGAAATTGGGGACCGGCGTGAAGAAAGTCGGATTGTTCTCGGAGAACAACAATTTTGCGCTCGGTTATCAAAAGTGCAAGTTCGTCTTTGCCTGCGTCAGAGAGCTCCTCCATCTTTACACCACTCAAAATCGTCCCCATCTTAGGCGTGATGTGCTTGGCTTTGACACCACCCTTGAAGAGGTTTGGCTTAGACTTATTTGCTCGCAGGGCTGGGTCATGATACTCGAAGTGCTTGACTTCGTCGAACCAGACATCGTCCTCCCACTTCGTGTTGATTAGTGGCTGGTCAATGAAATGGAAGTAAGCCTTTCACTTACCGATGGAAGGTAGCTTGGGAACTCTGTTCGACATTTAGATCTCTGGTCGTATTCATCGGATACATGGTTGTATGGCAGGTTGATGTCATAGCTAATCTCTGGGACAGCGACTTCATCCTCTTCTGTGAGTCGACTAGGTGCCATGATGAATGCTCGAATTGGTATGTATAGTATGAATGGTAAAAGAGATGGAATGTGATGAAGATGTCAGATGGAAGACGAAGATTTGATATAAATATGTAGAAGTGAAGTAAAGTCTCAAGGGTCTTTGATGAATTAAGAACTTGATAGTTGGGATACCTTCGGTTGAAGACCTATTAAATATAGCTAGCAGATGGAGGGTTGGGTAACAGAGGAGCTTCAGAATGGATGCCAATTAACAGCCGTTTTCAAAATGCGGAGCTCAACGGTTGTCGTGTAGCTTGCTATTTGCTCTTCGTCAGGTTGGAGATTATCAGTACTGTAATGCAGTAATAACACTTTAGCAAGCGGTGAGGACCCACGATGGTGTGACATGGTGCTGGTTGCTGATCAGTCAAGGGTAGGATGAACATGGGATAATGGAGAAGAGAAAAGCCCGGCAGCTTAGCAAGGCCTTGTGGGGTCAATTGTGACAGGGGTTATGTACATGGAATTTCCAGAACATGGTAACCAGTAGGAGATAAAGTTTCCGTCGTTACAAAATGGACTTGTGATAATGACGAAGCTTGTATGACCCCTTAAACGCAACGGCCCGTGACACAAAATTGGAATCGTAGCGCGACTAGGAATACCTAAACGTGGGATTAATGCGAGAAAGTTGAAACATCCTGACCTGAAGCCTAGGAAATAAGTCGAGGAAGGAAAAAGTGCAAGATGAACGACGTTAGATCATTGTAGAGGATGTAATGACTGTACAGCGAAGCCTTTGCTGATCTTGAAAAGGTATCGATTAGAACAACAACTCCTTACTTAATTACCTGCAAGCATGGGACCAAAATTTCACACACATACTAGGTAGATTTAGGGACCTACCTCTTTGCGTAAAGTTTGATGAATAACTTCTACGTTGGGCATAAGGAAACCGAAGTGGAGCTTGAAGCGAGAAGGAACATTCGCTGAAATGTTCTAGCTGCGACTCGTGGAACATGGGACTTGTTGCAACTTCCAAGGCTATGCAGAATGTACGGAGGTAAAGAAAATGTGTGGAAACTATTCGGGGGATCCGATACTAAATTGTGGACTACAATTGCGTTTTAATTTACGGTGATATATCCGAAGTGAGCCTTCATTTTTGCCCATGTTGAAACTTGCAAGCTTAGACCCCGAAGTGCTTGATATTTGAAATTAGAAGATTGAAATTTGGAAAAAAAATAAAAATGATGTGCATGGAAGTTCAAAGTGCGTGTTCGCCAGAGTTTCCACCAGGATTATATTTCGGCCCACTTGTTCCATAAGTTCCATTGATTTGTTCCACGCTTTGATGGATATTAAACCTTGTAGGCTTTTACATTTCGAACCACAAAAAGATGGATCAAATTTTGGATTCCACAACATCAATTTTTCTTTCTTTCCCTCTCTCTCTCTCTGTCTTCCACGCTAAAGGTCTGTTTAACTTTTGAACACCCCATTTGCCCAATGTTGGTATCTTTTCTTCAACATACTCATAATTTGATGGCAGTAGAGTTCGCGTAATCTTCTGGTCATCATCCCATATTCATCCAATAAGCTGATTTTACCCTAGCCTCTGGCATGCATATTTGGATATTTGATCGCAACATTTTCCTGCAGGATTATCGGCCACAGATTTCCATGTTACCGTATCGATCAGCAGACCGAGATTTGACAGGGCTTGCCGCATCTCCAAATTTTGCTTCGGAAAGACACCTCTATAAACCCCGTCCAGTGGTGCTCGAATCATGCACAGAGATTTTCTCTGCCGTTGTGGTTACACAGCATTTCGTAAATGTGAACATGTTTTGGCTAATATTAGATCGTCATGATAATTGAGATACAGTGCCTTGCGCAGCCGAAATGAATATCCTTAGCTCTTGGAATGATTGGCAGTTCAATGTATTCGTAGCCCAGGAACTCGGAAGTGACTTTTTACAAGACAAATTTGTTCCATCCATACATCATGCTACACTTGCACATACTTCAACGGCCGAGGGTAATGAGAAAATGGTATCCTTGAATTGCCCAATAATGATGCAAGAGGATACATGAGCTGCTGTGGACGGAATGCCAATAGAATAACAGCGCGCAAATGCCGGTCTTGAAATGCTAACGTGAAGTGCGAGTTGGCCACAAGATGAAGCTCGTGGAAAATTCCCAATTCTCCATGACAGTTTTGCCTGTACACAGGTACCGTAGGTTTCCTGAACCGGAATAACCAGAAAAGTGGTTTCATGCACAAGTAATAGTATTTTCTGGGCGTGTGAGCCCATTTCGGGATGCCCAAGGTGGGGGAAGGGAAACCGGAGTCATGTCAAATTCGGACGATTTTCCGATGTGTTCATGAATTGGACCAAGGGATCTCTGAAACTTCGCGACGGTATTGGTCCGCTCGAAAATGAGCATGGCCTCAAGGACGACGTAATCCACAATGCGATAGATAGAAGGACTCTATTGTCCGTGTCATCAAATTATTTGGCCTTCCAGGGTCGACTTGAGAGTTGCGTGGACTGAGATGCTATATCCATGTGTGCAGTGAAGTCATTATCTGATAAGCTAACTTCTTATATACTAACATAAAGGCCTGCATGTAATGTATAAGTATATCGTACGTGCCTTTGGAGCCTTGAACAACCGCTTTAGGGCTGGGTCGGAAGCGATGTGACCGTGTCTAACTGCAGCATGAGCGGTGAGGAATGGGACTGTTTTTACTCTGCCTAATCCGTGATGACCCTTTGAGATTAGCTGCATTATCGAAGCAGCAAAGGAATGATATAGAATCCAATCTGGAAGTGATTAGTCGCACGAAATGCCTAGTCAAAGTAGCCTGTGGCTAAACGGATATTCTGAACTGTCTTTCGATTATGCATGAGGTTAGCAAAACCTACATCGGACGATCAGATGATCAGACGTATGTACGCCTTTTTGATATCGAGAGCTTCCTCTAGTTTGAGGTGGTCGTAGACTTCCAAGGAGTGCTTATCATGCAGAAAGCCCGAGTCAGTACATATGATAATCGCATCTTAATCAATCTCTGTACACCCAAAAATGAACCAAGGGAAGAGCGTCGCGTGGTTCGCACCATTAATCCCTGTTCATTTAATTCGACGCAGGCTATCGAGGTCATTAGCGCAGACGCACTTTGGGTAGGTATGCCCGACACTCTTAACGACGTGCATCTTATCTCGGGAGATAGCTCGGGAAACCCAAGTATCAGGAACGGCTGGACTTTGCTTTGCCAAAACAGTATGCCGGATTGCCATAGAAACACTGGCTAATAGCTAGCGAGCTTCGTAGGGATCTAGCGATACTTTGATGTAGACAGTATTTCCAAAGAGTCAACCGATTCGAAACTTGTGTAATTACGAAAGCACTCAGGATGGTAAGGAGCCATATGCCGAAGGCAAATGAGTATCCGGAAAGAAAACAGGCTAAACACCGCATTAAACCATGACTTGTAGTAGTACTCGCAAGAATTGCCATTTGGAATCATGAATAGTAAAAAAATGCCTCGGAGGCGGGAATTCACCCGCCAATCCCACAATGTTAGTCAAGACTCTACAAGATCCTTGCAAAGAAGATTTCCGATCTCACGCTTTGATGCAGAGCAACTGAGAGACATTGCAATGAACCGTAAATGCGCCATCTCCCGATGATTCACTGTAGCTGTTCGTGTGAAGCTCCAAGATCGATAGCAATTTGCGTGACATAATCGGCCGGTCAAGTTCGAAAACACCTTTTCTGGTGTGATCTTCTAGTCTGGCCGTCTGTTGAACAAGACACGCACCAAGTTTGACAAGTTGGGCACCACAGATGAATGCTAATCTGGTCGTTTTTGAGACAAGATCTTCCAGGTGCTGAAACAGTATCTGGAAATAGGTGTGGGTATTCCTCTCGTATAATACCGTCTTCCTTAGGTGGTAAGTGTGACAATAGTAAATGTGTCGACGAATGTTCAAATCGAAACGAAGTAAGGCACAGGTTTTTGGGATTGTAAATTGGATCCTTTCCTCCGGTCTGCCCGATAAACGTCTCGCATTCATATTCTCATCCCCAAAATTCATATCAGGTACCAGGCACAGATTTGATGACAAATCTAGCCATTGTGCTCAAGTTGAAACCCTAACATTGCAATCTTTAATTGATTCGAGATCGTTGATATTTTGCTCATTGGTGTATCTGCCACATAAATCAAGGTTTTGCGCCAGTCAATCCCATTGCCATGTGCAGTTGATTTACCTGCCTTCCAGTGGATCGAAGTGTTTGAGATGTAAAGTTGGCCAATTTTTGCAATAATATGATTGATATATCGCCAGCATTGTACTTTCTGCTTCTTTCAAATTCATATTCGCTCTGCTTCCCTTCAAGTCCTGGTAATTTGTTGAGGTATGTAAATCCTACTTCAGGGAGTTCCAAATTGACACATTATTGGTGAGGATCAAAGTGAGACCGGTGTGGAGACTAACGACGATGCTCGCTGCCAAGAAATGAGTTTCGAGCTTCTGGAAGCTTTAGAAGGCGGGGCTCGGTCGGCAGGATGGCAAACGCTTAACTCTCAGTCGAAGTCAGTGACTGAAAGTTTGAAGGTGGAAGCCGCTGTCGTGTTCGATTTCATTTTTATCGTGCTCGTTACAAGTACCGAACGCGAAGCTTTTCGAAGCTTTCATCTCCGATCATCACTTGTCTGCCGAAGATGAACCCGAATTTAGTTGTCAAATAAAAGTCCCGGTACATGTCGAAATGAAGATAGAAAAGTTGGAATCGAGTTGGAAAAGTAATCAAGTGTGAGGATGAAGGTAATTTCAAAGAAAGGATCTCGAGAGTTTTGACAACGTCCTCAGTCAGACAACAGGGAGTGTCGCTCCTGGCCCAGGGGATGAAGCCTTTCGGGGAAATAAGTTCCTAGGACTCATATCGTTCTTGGGACCCGATGCAGGTAATGATTACTCGAATCAATCTCCAACTCCGATTTCTGACTTCGCGAGAAGTCTCACTATTGGGTCAGGAGTGAACTGATGGAGTTTCAGTCAGGCTCATGAGGAAACCAATAAACATGTATATACACTCATTCTCAAGAATGAAAGTAAACAAAGATGCCATAACCAAGTGGGATCGCTATGGTATATATAGTTCCATGTTGCTCAACATCCAAAACCCCTTCTATGGCACAATCCATGCTAGTGAGGTGGAGTATTTTCCCAGCAGCCGCAGCTCGCGCAGTATGCGAAAAATATCATCACGTGAAACTATCTGAAGCGATTTAAATCTCAAAGCGCAAATTGTTTTTGCTAACTACCGGCACTGTTTAGGATCTTGAGCGAGGGATAGTTCTTTTTGCAAAGGAATGGGTAACTGATACTAGGATTGGAATTTTTGCGTCTACATCCAAAAGTCTTTGGAAAACGAGGTTCATCGGGACTGCCACTTTTCCTTAGTCCAGAACCTCTCATCTATAATTATACGATAATTATGGTTACACGTTGGTGGCACAGGGCTGCGATGCAGCCAAAAATTCCCTATCATCTCCTCAACGAATGATTCAACGTGTACCAATCTGTTGTACGCGGCCGAAAGGGGCGTTGCACAAATTAATCAGATGCATGAAGTCTCATACACTTACCCGTCGGAGAACAACGATGATGAAAAATAAGTTTGGCAAAAGCTTGCTTCCGAAGTCAACGAATTCAAGAATACTATAGGCTATAACACAACATAGAGCACAATCGGCAATGGTTCTAACCCTATGTATATAATTCTTGCGTGGTAGAATTACAATATTGTCAAGGATTACCCTGGATATGTTACCACGGGCTATCGCTTACCTGCATACATGAAGAATGGGTATCCATTGTGCAAATATTGTTGAAGAAACAGGGCGTCATACCCAAAAGTATTGAAGATTCAATGTTCAATCTACCAGGTCGGTAGGCATTTCTGAAATACTGTTCTTCATGTGCAGAGTGACATCGGAAGGTCAAAGAGTAAAGTGGCTCATGAGTCATTGGTGCTGAGGTGAGCCACAAAATCATGGGCTGCCCCGATACCACTCTCCCCGTGGGAGGGAGCGTTCGATGTTCGCTTTGAGCCATATAGCACGATACACCTTGAAGCCACGGAATGAATGTTTTAACGGTGTTCATGGCCGGCGCAATCTAAGAGACTACCCAGTGAAGATTACGGTTTATTCGACGGCCACATGTGAACAGACATCTTGCCACGATCTACGGTAAGCTCTCCATTCGAAGTACAAATTGTACTGTGTGGAATTTGACATCGATGGTAAATCCGAGGTGAGATCGATGCTGCTGCTTAAGAGGAAATATCCGCCTGTTGAAATCCTCTGTAAGAAAGTCATTGTTCTATTGGGCCAACTCACAGCTTCTCATTGAGTTATTCTTTAAGATATCCTGGAACATTCCCTTGTGCAAAGTTTTATTGTACATTCTGCGTATTCTGCATATTCTCAAGCTTTCTGTTGAGCACTCTTACTATACGTACTATTTTCAATCCTTGAGTTGGCTTGCGCTCTCTTCCGGGCAACTTCTGGAATGAGACTCACCATTTCTGCATCAGTGAGCTTCATAAACGAGAGCCCAACTCGTAATTTCAAATATGAACCACTGGATCCGAGCCTAGTTGTTAGTCCAAGATCCAATCAACAATTTCAACGCTTAAATAATGGTGTCGAGAACTGCCACCCTTCCCCTTTCCCCAAAACAAGATACCAAGCGACTTTACACTTTGGCAAATTAGCCCTCATCAAGAGCACGAATTGCCGTCCATTGGCCGATGTATCATGATGGACGCTTTCCAAAATCAGAAAATTCAGAGTTACAGGACAATGAAAGCCAAAGATATTTTTAAAAATAATCGCGTATGTACTAGGGTTGTTAAATGACCGGCAGTTCATATGACGCTATCAGATCAAATCAGCCAATCGCTTTTTTTCTTTGCCAACTGACATATCAAAGACGATAGGCATTTTGAATCATCCAGAACATCTCATACGGAATTTGAGGTCATCAGAGGATTCAATCATGTGATATATACATGACTGTGGAGAGGTAAGCTCCGTCAGGTTGATTGGTGTCATATGATTTATTGTGATACAGCCATCAAATCGAATTCACAACCCTAAAATGTACACCATTCTTGGTACGCTTAGCACTGAAGCACTGGCAGTGCTAGATACAGTGCGGTCGCCTTTCTAACCTCATTCTATCTCCTAGCCGAGATAATCAAGTGCTGTGCATTCACAACGATGATCTGAAGATTCCAAATGCGTATAACGGATTCTAACCTCACCTTCAGATACTCGTACGTCTTACATCCATCCACGTCTGCTTGTCCAAAATTCTCTTTACCTTTTCGAACCTTTTTGAACGTTATAAGCATAAAAACTTTTGGACACTCGCCCTAATATTCTCCATCCATCGATGCTAAGTTCTCGAACATGCATAATTCACTGCACAGTGCAGAAGGTCGTCAATGAATATTCACTTACTCCATTTTTTACCCCGCGATTGTTTCAGATGATCGCCAAGAGTATTCATTATTTGAAAGTGGAGTCTAAACATTGAGCTATCTAGTAATACTTTAAAATCTTTCAACGGGGATGGTCAGTCAACGTAGGTATATTCTACTTAACTAATCATACTTGTCTAATACTATTTTGCAACTACCTCGTCGTTTCGCCTGCTTCTCTAGATGGACACTTCCTAACCGCTATCATTTGGGAATTATCCCCTAGACCGCCAGTTACGGCCGGGAAATGTGGTTCGTGCATGAGCAAGAACATCAATAACTTCATATATTACATTAAAAATCATTTAGCTTGAATTTTTATTAGAGATTATTAAAATAGTAATAATTAGAAGGTTTATTATAAATTTATAAATTTTAATTGTACAAAAAGATTTCTTAATGTTTTTAAATACTACTATATTTCACCTTCAAAAGAAATACAATTCATCATATCAAAACCTTTTAGATTATAACACTTTGATTGGCTGATAAGGCATTATAAGCGAACCCGGCCGTAGCTGGCGGTCTAGGGGATAGCACTCTGTGACTTACATCGACTGGAAATAATCAATCACTCTCTCAACCGTTACCCCTCTTTGACCAATGCAACCTCGAACATTCATCTACCGAGCGACAGGAACATTCGGGTGCAATTAATCAGAGCCCAAGTATCTTGACAACAGGAACTCATACTACGAGTATTTCAACTCCGGATCCAACAAGCAGAGATTACGGTACATGAGATAAAAAGTCTTAGCTTCGAAAGGTAGAAAGTATGCGAGAGATAGCCATGACCTTCAAAGCTCAATCGGAGTTTTACCGTGTGGAGTCTATTGGAAATAGCAAGCTCGACATTAATACTTGATTGTCTTACCTCTAAGTCACCTACTGCTAATTTGAGTTTGAGAACGACGTTACTACAAAGTTTTCGACACGGACGAGGCTTGATTTTGCGCCCGATGGAGAAAAGTTGTCGATAGCACGGGGAAAATAGAAACAGGAAATTTAACGAGCATCCAGGGAATCGCGAAGAATTCTAAAAGATAAGTAGCAAGATAATGGATGATCGAATGGGCCCAAAATTATGGAACATGGAAAGCTGATCGTAGACATAATAATCGTAAAATGCATGATATTACCTACGACTTATAAATTTCTGATGGAGCAATCACAGAGCATTGGAGAGTTCGCTAATGCCCCCATAGAAAGTTCTCGAGTAACTTTGATATCTAGCTTTCATTCTGATACTCCGTATATTATCTTGTTAGACCTTACAATAATAAAATAGGTAGAATCTTCTTTTCCCAACTCCAACCCTCACATCGAATCCAAATTCCAGATTCCAGAAGCATCAAGGCCCGCCCCGCTTTTCCAGCTACCGATGCACTGCTAGTTCGACAAGCCGATACATCCGACTCAGCCCTGCAGCTAGCGCTATATACCTAGGTAGTAACATTCATTCGATAGCAGCCAGACACAGCGTTTGCGAGTTTACGCGGCATGATATGGTCTTCACTTGCTTATTGTACACATGCAGTATCTATATCTCAAACCAACCCCTTTTTCTTTTCGTTCACTTGCTGTTCGTCCAAACTAAGACCTGATATCTTGCATAAACCGTTTCAATTCCTCGCACTAGATTTAAAGCATAAAGTTACTATACTAGTGGGGTTATGGATTTATAGAATAGACCATAGACAACCTAGAAAGAAAGTGTAGTATTGAGATTTTGATTTCCCAACCCCAAATTTCTCCTCAACAGACTGACTATTGATTTTCGCAAATCTCTCCGAAACACACCATGAACTCTCCATGAAAATCTTAACAGGGTTCAACATGAACTCAATTTCTACAATGTAAATCAATTATCAATTCCGCAGCTCTGTCTGAAAATCCAGTTCTCAAGACCTGTTCAATTCCCCACTTCAACCCAACACACACCCCAGTCCTCACAATCCCCGTATCCTCTACCTATTCCATAATGGCAATGCGCCTCTCTATACGCGTATATAGATCCATACTCCATAAACACTCCCACAAACATCCCGCAAGCATCTGCATGCGCAACCAAGCCACACCACCACGCGCGAATCACACCTTCCCTTTGAATTTGACTTTCCATGCTCGCTCTCAGAGCGAAGAAAGGATACCGTTGCGGAACGCCAAGTAGCCAAGCATGTCTTGCTTGTATCAACTTGTAAAGGCTTACATCATGATTAGATTGGGTGGTGGATGGATGAACCTTAAGGATGACCGGGTGCTGCGGCTGGGATGTTGGGTGTGGTGTGAGCAGGTATAAGAGGGCTTGTGACCCGGAGTGTAATGGGAGTGAATTTGTTTTTGGTGTGCGCTTACTTACCTACCTACTTACTGTAGTATTATTATTATTCATTGTTGAGTTGATTGGAATTATACCTACCTCATTTAACTCATCCTCTATCTCAACCTAACATCCAACCCCTCAATCTTCTACGCAAATCATCAACGTCAATTGTCAAACCAAGTCTTCGATATTAAGAAATTTATATCGCCTTGAAATTAAACAAACAAACAAACAAATCCATCCATCCATCCATCTCTCCCTCCCTCCCTCCTTCAAACCTCCAAAAAAAAAAAAAAAAACATGGTCGCCGCCAACCCCCGCACTACTCTCCACCCATCCATGATCCGTCAACCACCCGCCGCCTACAACGCCAAAGGTCAAGATTTCGAAATGCGAGAACCTGTACGTTAATTTCTTTCCTGTTCACCCCATCAATCCTCACTCGTGATCCTCCCCCTCCTCCCTCCCTCCCAAACCCAAACCAACACTAACGCCCCTCAAGACCAAACACGCCAACATGTCCATGTCACCCACTCCCACCGGCACCTTATCCCGCACCAGCAGTACCGATTCCCACGCATCAGGAAGTGTTCCCGTACACCAGAGAGGTGGTGGAGGAAACGGAGGATTGTGTTGTGGAATTTGTGCGGGGTTGGCTTGTTTTGAATGTCTGGAGTGTTGTTGTTAGATATTGTGGGTGGGGGAGGGGGCGAGGGAGCAATTTGAGTTTTATTTTTGGGTTGCGGGGTTTGGGGTCTTGGTAGGGTGGGAAATGCTTCACTCGTGATGGATTGGGAACAATTGGATGGATCACGCCAGTTAGCTTGTTTATGACTTTATGAAATGAAATTGATTTTACTCGGTACTTTTGCGTTTAAAGTCTTGAAATTCTGTACGGATCACTGAGGTTGGAACATCTCTACACTTCATATTGTCGATTGGTATTTATTTAAAGATGATTTTACAGATGTCATCAAACATGTAGCGACTGGCTTTTACGTTTATTTAAGTATAATCCGGCTCGAGCTGCAAGTTTAACACACATACTAAAAATCGTAATCTATTCCTTTAACCTCAGTGAACCAATCCTCGCATGTTCTCCACCGATTATAGAGCTGGTGTTTGCAATATAGACGTAACGCAAAGAGTCCTTGTGTACTCATAAGATATAGGAGAGTAAGAATTGAAAATTTTCTCAGTAGAAAATATAACACTAAGATTTCTCTTCTTCAACTCCCTTTTTCACCTTGAAATCTTGCTTTGCTGGTCTTTCTCCAAATATCGTACTGCCGATTCTAACTTCTCCGCTTCCTTGTCGAATCGCCTATTGGATCATTAGTTCTGGTATCATAATAAAATTTCCCGAAAGAAGGGAACAAGAAGATTAGACATATGTCAGGAAACAAACGCACCTTTTCAAAATCCTCACTCATACCCATGCTCAATTCCAACCCCTCTATCCCCAACTCCTTCTCAACTCTATCTCTCTCCTCTCTTAACACTCTGAAATCCTCATTTTCCTCGCCTTCTTTCATATGACTTCTAGCTATCGCGCCAATAGTCATAAGTCCCACTAGTTTTAAATACGGACATTCTTCAATGACGTATTTACATAATTCGGTAGTATCTTTGCCAGGGGAAACACCAGATTTGGAGGATTCACCTGAAGTGTTGAGTTGAATGTGAATGTTTAAGGGGGAGGGCTTTGAGTTTGAATCAGCGGGCATGGGAAGAAGAGAGCGTCCAAGAGATAGTTGAGAGGCTTTCTTTTGGGAATCGATGGAGGAAACGAGGTGAAGGTTAAAGACGGTGGAGGCGAGGGGTTTGCATTTATCTGATATTGAAGTTAGTGTCAGGCTTTGAGCGAAGTTGAGACGACGAGGCCTGATTAAAGTAATCTAGACAGGATTTCAAAGCCCACTCGGGCGTAGAAGCATCCAAAATCTATTTCTCCAATGTATCATGTGACTCATCGCGACCTCAGCATCTCGCCGAATTATTCAGACGAACATGACTGAGAACACAGAAGTATGCTTAGAAAAGTTAGACGTACTGCTCTGTAACCCCCCAATAAAGTGCCACTTAATACTCCTCGGCAGGATCTCCGCCTTTTCCATCAACTCCTGTGCATAGTTCTCTCCAAAATGTTCGACGTTTGCCTGCTCATGAAGAGCTAGGATATCCGTTGCTGGCTTGAGTTTAGATACTGCTACTAATCTTACCTATCTTTTGCGTTAGTATACTTGTGGGTTTATGGTTCGAAACACATAGAGATAGATAGACAGGAATAACAGTTGGAAGGATGCGAAGGACAGGCACCAGTAGGGATGAACGGTTTCATGCAGATGAGGGGCAATGAACATACATTTCTGCTTCCTGCGGCGTTGGTGACACGTTCAGAGACGGATTGGAAAGCTGAAATGAGGGTTTTGGCCCGGACTGGATCGCATGTGAGCTTCATTTTTAGATTTGGATCTAGGTTGCGTTTGTTGTTGGCTATTGAGTGTTGATTAGGTGGGTTTGTGAAGAGGTTTGTCAATTATCGTCGGCTTTTTGATGGGAGCTTATCGATAAGAATCTAGGTCTGTGGGTGGAGCGGAGTGGAATTACTTGGCATTGCGAAAATGAAGAGAGGCATTGGAACTATTTGTTGGGGACACGGAATATTTTACTAGATGAAGACCTTTCAATTGAATTTTTTTCTATTTCGGCAAAGCATGGCATCCACGCAGCAAGCAAGCTTTATGCCAAGGGGTTTTGCTTGTTTGGGACTTTGAGACCAGATGAGTTGTGGATTCATCGCATGTCACTGTTTATGTGTTCGATGTGGTCGAGAACGCAAAAGCGAGGATGAGCCTGGCTGGCGAGGGTTGGTGACTTAGAGGTCTAGGAAGGAGGCACCGAATAGAGTTGTTGGTGAATCGTGATACGTACCTTCCTCGACGTAATGGTGAGGTGGTGGTGAATTAAGTGGACAGATGTTGGAAGTTTGTGGTCGGAGTGGTCGAGAAGGGACAATTTTTCGAAGATTCAAATGTCGAGAGGTCGTGCAAGTGGTGGCTTGTATTCGAAGGATGATTTTCAAGATAAGGATTTGTGATTGCGAAGCATAGATTGATTGATTGCATGTGGGTTTAATGTGATGAGATTCTCATTATGCATAGATAGAAGCACAATTTGAATCTTCTCTTCTGTCTTGTGCATGGTACGTTAGGATATGTTTCCACTGATGTACCTCCGTACTCCAAGATATTACACTTGACTCTGGGGTTGTGTTCCATTCAATTTCCACGATCCAACATACTGGATGGAGCATTATTACCAAAGATCACGATCATGTTGGAGCCTCTATCGTCATCCCCCAAGAGTAGTGGCTGAGATGGTCGACGGATCTACCAAACTTCCCACATTTTCCTTCCAAAAATGTATATCATCGGCGTATCCAATTCATGATTTGGTCGGGAAGCGGCTGTGTACTTTGGGAGATCCGCACTGTTCAGTAGTTTGTTTTTGTTAGGTTCGATTTGAGTAAAATGGAGACTGATTGTACATCGTAGAATACCGGTACGTCGTAAAGTATCTTCCATTGCAGAACACATTGCGGAATTTGCACTTAGACGTGGACTCGGACTTGTTTATACGTGGACGATGGAGCAAGAATCATGACCAGTCACAACACACGAGGAGGAACGATGATGAAGCACCGCCCGCATACGAAGACTTGAAGAAGGATTACACTTCTACTCTGTACTCTCCAACTTTCTAAATCTTGAAGGTGTTCCAATCACACATACAACACATGCAAAATTCTTCTCTTAGTTCATGATCGTCATTGCATATCCCGTATACGAAGCGACTAATGTACAATATTACGAAGAAAGCCCCTTAACCCTCCATCGTGAAACTCGTAAGGCCATGGGAAAGTTTACGGAGTACCCGATTGCCTACCTGAGGAGTCCTTTACACATTCTTCGTTTTTTGTCCCAGATCTATCTCTCTTTGTGTTGTAAATTCATTTTTCAGGAGGATGAGCAAAGCTAGTCTTCCATCACTTTATTATTAGAGGTTGAATCTTTGTACCGAGTAATAAGCCTTTTCCCTTGGCGTTTGGCGTTTCGTATTCCTGGGTGGCCATGGTGATCGTGGTGGCCCGTTAGAAATGCCCATTGGCTATCATGCCCATGGATGGATGTCTGTACCTTGCATTCTCGACCATTCTTGAATCTTGACCCCCTCTTACGGTCCTTACCCCCTTGATAATGTTCCGTGCCTGTAAGACAAAATGTTGAACGAACTTGATGGAACCCCAGTATTAAGAATTTTATGAGATGGCATCTAGGTCCTAGCTGCTAGGTACCTAGGTGTGTACTGTAGTCTGTAGCTACCAGGTAGGTAGAGAAAATTAAGACTCTTTTCGACTCTTTTCGACCCTTTCGACCCTTTCAACCCTTTCGACGTTGGCTCCATTTTTCTTCTGCTCAAGGGACAAGTTTTACATCTTCAGCTTTCTCCACAAGGACTCTTCCTATCTCCTCTCTTCTTGTCAATCTTTACCTGCTATGTCCCGTTTCTGCTCTTAGATCTTTCATTACCTCAAGAAACGGAATAGAAGAGAAAAACTCGAATACACACGAATCGAATTCCTATGACCAAGAAATCTTCTTTCAATTCTTTTAATAGATTTACTCCAACCGGGATTCTTTCTTCCTTTCAACTTTTTGGACTTTGTGTCCTTCATTTCCTTCATTTCATTATTGAAATAGTTGGTTCCAATTCTTCTTTTGGAACTAGCAGAATATTATCTATCCAAACTGGTTATTCTTCGGATTGTTGATCAAAACCCCTCGAACACGCTCGACGCGAGTTACTATACGAATGACGGCCATCTATTGAATTCATACATTCGTTTCGCAGACTACCAATTGATTGAAATCTGCTAAGATTCTCCCTTGAGATTCACCACTTACACAATTTGTCCAATTTATGATTTTTATTCCTAATCTAGTTTTATATTTGAGACGAGCAACATTCCACAAGGAATCTTATCTCCCCCGCCACTGATTCAATCTCAGATCTCCAGAAAGATCTGCGATTTTTATACTTGCTTTCTCCTCACGAAAACCCTACTTTTCGATTAAATGTCACTTCGTTCCCCTCGATCACCAACAGATTTCTCGCGGCGTGGCTTTCAGCCCATAGACGGCGGCGATATGACCGAAAACATCCCCCTCACACAAGTGAGAACTGGAGCCTCTTCCACAGGAGCACGAAAACCTGGAGAAGGAATACTGGCAGGAAGCTCGGAAAATGATTCTGGCAAAGAAGACGAGAAGCAAGGGATGTTTAGAAAAGGATTTGCCGGCAGAAGGAAAGTCCATCCGTCGAGAAGAGGAACGAACGGAGAGGAAATTTCTGTCAATGGCTTGGGCAGATTTTACAACACAGTTATTAATTTCTCGGTGGTCACTCGTTACATGTTCTACGTTGCGCCAATTGGTATAATACTCGCCGCACCAATCGTTGTCTTCGCTGTCTTGTACCCAACGGCAACTATTGGAAAAATGAAATTATACTTGTTCTTCACTTGGATTGAGATTATTTGGCTTAGTATTTGGGTTTCGAAGCTGTGCTCGAAAGCCGTACCATACATCTTCATGTTTTTGTGCGGAGTCGTCAGCACTGGCGTTCGAAAGTACGCAACTATCTTGAGAGCTTTGGAAATCCCATTATCCTTGGTTGGATGGGCCATTACCAGCTTAGTCACCTTCACGGCCTTGACGACGAAAGAATTAAATAAGCTGCACAAAAATGGCAAAGATTACGATGGCACCTTGGATCCATGGGTTAATACGATGAAGCGTGTTCTGGTACCTACTTTGATTTCTACAATCATACTCTTGGTGGAGAAACTCATTGTCCAATTGATCAGTGTCAATTATCACCGACGCTCTTTCGATGGACGTATCAAAGAATCAAAACACCTCGTCCACTTGCTTGGTCTCCTATATGAAGCATCCCGAACTCTGTTTCCAATGTACTGCCCCGAATTTGCCGAAGAAGACTACATTATTAGCGATAGCATTGAAGCCGTCCTTCAAAAGACGAACAGAAAACTATTGGGACATAACAGATCCGGTTCAAACACGCCAATGAAGCTCATCGGAGATATTGGCCGTTTTGGTGACAAAGTTACCTCAGTCTTTGGAAATATTGCATCTGAGATTACCGGAAAGCAAGTTTTCAACCCTAATTCTGCTCACTCCGTCGTTATTGAAGCACTTGAAAAGACCAAATCTTCCGAGGCATTAGCCAGACGTTTATGGATGTCTTTCGTCGTTGAAGGCAAGGACTCTTTATCTGCAGATGATCTTGAGGAGGTCCTTGGTGCTGGTCGCAAGATGGAAGCCGAGGAAATTTTTGAAGCTTTGGATAATGATGGAAATGGCGATATCTCTCTTGATGAGATGATCATGAAAGTAGTGGATATTGGCCGCGACCGAAAATCGATTGCGAATAGCATGAGAGACGTTGGACAGGCCATTGGTGTTCTTGATCAAGTCTTACTCATTATCGTTCTCATTATTGTCATTTTCGCCTACAGTAAGTTTAAGCTCAAAATCTCAACCACAGGGTCACACTCTAATCATTTGAATAGTTGCTTTCCAAGATACTGGTTTCCTCACCACATTGACAACTGCCGGAACGACTCTCTTGTCTCTATCTTTCGTTTTTGCTGCAACTACTCAAGAGTTTCTTGGTTCTTGTATCTTCCTTTTCGTCAAACATCCATATGATGTCGGTGATCGCGTCGATATCAGTTCCGAATACCTTGTTGTAGAACAAATCTCCTTACTTTTTACCATTTTCAAACGCATCGACAATATGAAGATGGTACAGGTACCTAATATTGTACTCAACAACCTTTGGGTCGAGAACATCACTCGTAGCAAGGCAATGAAAGAACAACTCGATATGTACATCTCCTTTGATACTACTCTCGAGGATATTGAACTCCTACGCACAGAAATGGAAAATTTCGTTCGCCATCCAGACAACGCTCGTGATTTTCAATCAGACATTGTATTGGAGGCTGTGGGCATTGGAAACATGGATAAGCTTCAACTCAAGGTCGAAATCAGACATAAATCTAATTGGCATAACGAAACAGTTCGCGCTGCTCGTCGCTCCAAATTCATGTGTGCTCTTGTTTTGGCCTTACGCAAGATTCCAATCAACGCTCCTGGAGGTGGCGGAGATGCTCTCGGTGGACCTGCCAACCCCAACTATTCGGTCGCTGTGACAGATGAATGGGCCGCTGAAGCACGGGATAAATCATCAACCACTAAAGACTCAAAACGTCTCATACCCACGAAACCTCTCAAAAATACAAACCCAGATCTTGGTCCAATAGATACAGAGGAAGAGGCCGCGGAACATTTGAATGCAAGACGCCCTGGTTTAGATTTTGCCCATAGTAACAGTTACAACGACAACGATGATATGTCGACCTTGGGAGAAAATAAATTCGACCACCAATACAGCAATTCAAGGACATCTCTTATGAAAAGAGCAAGCACCCGAGGTAGACGAAAGCCTGGAGAGCATCTACCGCCGAATGCATTCCAGTCATCTCCTGGTTTTAGCGTTACAATAGACGAGCCTTCAGGATCAGGAACTTATGGAAATTCTTTCATGAATGAAGGTGCTGCTGGTTCCACTGAGTACAACTCTTCATATGGCAGTGGAAGTGGTTATCAAAAACACGCACCATTTCCTGCAAATTCATCTGGTCAACTCGGACGTAACACATCCGTTGCTTCGAACAGAAGTCAGATTGGACCCGATGGGGCTGGTATACCATCGTCGACATCACTATACCCATCATATTCAGCAGGACAACAATCTGCCGGTGTGGCTTCCAACTCGACTACTAGTAACACATCACAAGCTGCTCCTGGTCGAACTTTAGTCGGTGGTACACCAGCAAGCCGAGCGAGAAGTGGAACTACAGGTGGTAGTCGACCAAATGTTGAAGATGAAGAAGAGTAGAGGTAGAGGACGATGTAGCAGATTACAGACTGGACGGGGCTAGATTTCTTTTTATTACAGGGTCGGGAGTCAAACATACTATACCCGAATATTTTTGCATGTAATTGATGCATGGATTGGCAAAATGATGACGAATTTGTATGATATATTTGCTAGATAATGTGCTTGCTACATCAGCTTCCACATTTTCTTTAGATGGTAAAGGTCGTGTCAGATGAGAACCATAGACTGACTGGTGAGGAGAATTCATGAATGGAATAGGGAATTCAAGCAATTTTATGCAATTATTCAAACATTCAGCCTTGGAGGTCTTTGCACATTGAGACGTGACATCTAGAATTGACAAGTTAATCGTCGGAAATGCCGCAATAAATGCTCTTAAATCTCATTCCATGATGCAGTGAAACCTTGAAATATAATTAATGAGACAATTATACGCCTTGTGTGAGTCATGTGATATGTGATTAGGAATTTTCTAGTTGAGGCTAGCGTATCTGCTTTATCTCCGAGTTGAGCTTCCATTCCATTGTCACAAGCCAGGATCAACACACCGAACATATACGCTTTCTAAAACGAGACGTTCTGTTATTGTATTTTGGAGATAAATCACACTTGACCAATTGGAATCACGCGTTTATCGTGCATCTACTAATTCTATTTACGGATTATCTTGGCCCAAAAAATCTCTCTTCCAGCATTCTGATCACGTGTGGCTTTTGAGAAATTGTCTTTGCGTGGAATCGTGGTGCAGGCGTATTTCACAAACTAGTAGGCCTGGAGGGTTGGTAGAGTAAGAGCTGGGATATTCCGATTGAGAGTATGGATCAGAGAGCCACGATGGCGCAAAGCAATAGGGTCGGAGAGACGAATCTTGCGAGAGGCACACCGCTGGGCGCTTCAGGTCCATCGGGCGTCTCGAGAATGGCAGATCCTCCTGGAATACTGAGGAATCCAGAGGCGAGAAATTGGAATACGGATGTTCCGAATCATTTGCCTCATGAAAAGGTTTTTCCGATTCAAATCGGGACCGAACTTTTCCGGTTGAGTGGTGCTAGTTTGAGTTCTGATGGTATGTATTATCCTTTCTTCGCACTTCCTGGTTGAAAATAAGATTCTGGATGGATAAGAAATTTCAGAGTGAGGGCACCAGCTAAGAAACCTAGAGCACCCTCATATTTTTCCCAATATTTTCAATGCCAATTGAGGCAAGCGCAAGAGAAAGGAGAAGATCCAAATACAGCTATCAGGACCCTTTATATCGATCGAGATCCTATCACGTTCAAAGACATATCACTTCATTTGCAAGGATACCATGTTGCACCAAGGGATGCAAGTCATTTTGTTAAGTTATTTGCCGATGCTCAATTCTATTCATGTTTGTCTCTCCCTCTCCATTACTTGGGGAGATGTGTTAACAGCAGATAGTACCAAGGTTGATCTCTCAGCTATATGAAGAAAATATCTTCATAACAGTTGGAGATCGAGAATTCCAGATTCCTCGCGAATTATTTTCCGATCCCGGAAACAGTCCAAATTACTTCTCCCTAAGCTTCACTATCTTCTTTAGCTCCCCTACTGAGGTATTTCCCGGCCTAAGCAGGGAAGGTCTTCTTCGACCACCATCTATTCTTCCCCCATCAGTACCCAACCGCTCCTCGAAAACATTTTCCGAAATTCTTCATCTTCTCCGTGGTTACCCACTTGAAATCCGTAGTCCAGAACACCGTGCTGAACTCTTACGAGATTGTCGATATTTCCATCTCAAAGGTCTTGAACAAAAATTAATTCCCCATTCTATTTCCTATAATCTCCTACGCAAAAAATCAGAAATCACAATCCGACTCGTGGATATCAGGCAATCTGGCCTCTCTATCCTAACAAATATCTCCCCATCTACCGCTCCCGCTACCGAACCTCTCACCTCTCCACCCCCACCTCCAACACCATCTGTAGGTTACGTACACTACCAACGTCCGTTTGCCGATTCATCGCCCTCCGAGCTTATTCTCGAAATAGGTGATTCGGCTACACTGCTTCATTGGGATACTATGCGCTTGGAATTTTTTGGGGAAACGAAAATACGGATGGGTAGATTGTTGGAGGTGGTTGCTACGAAACTTAATCTACCGGGTAAACAACCCTTGGGATTATTGATGAAAAATGGTGGCGCGAGCAGCGAACCGGCTAGTCCGGGCAAGAGTGGACTGAGTGAGGAGATGGTTAGAGTGGTTATTGGAGAAGACTGTGGGGTGGTGTGTGATGGGAAGGTGGTTGATTTGAATGGGGCTACAGATGAAACTTCTAGTATCGGTGGTCAAGGAATTAGTAAAAAGAGGAGAATAGGAGATGGGATTGCGCTTCCGGCAAATGTTAACATAGGCTCCGGAGCAACGAAAGATGAAACTTGGATTGTGAAGTCGGGACAGTGGAGGCTGAGGGTTCAAAATCGTGGGGGTGGTTTGCAAGCAGCGAGGATGGGAGTGGGAGTGGGTGTGGGGGAAAAGGCTTTGGTTAATGGGAAGGCGGAGTGGGAATGTGTGTTGGTGGCGGTGAGATTGGATGCTGTTAGTGGGGAACGGGGGAGGAATTTGGGGAGAGGATTTTTGGGTGGGTGAAGTGTACAGTGGGGTGTGGTTCGGAGAATGGAGGGAATGGAAAGAATGGAGAAGAGCGATTTCGAGAATTAGGGATGGTAATTTCGGGTTAATGATTGGTGTATAGAATAAATGGGAAAACTGAGATGGCTGTGGATTATTTTGTATAGTGCTCTGAAAAAAATGCGGTATAGTCGTGGTATCATATTCGTTTTGTTTATCGTCTTCGAGGATGAATGAAAGTTTGACTTGACTTTGCGAAATGCATCGTCAGATGTGAGTATAGAAGTATGGTATGAGTCTTATAAAAATGATGTGTGAATGTCCGAAGAGAATCTCACTCGGAGTAGAAGAGACTCGGTGTTTTGTCTGAGCTCTGGGATTTGAAGTTTGTATATTTTTGACTCTGTTGGCTCAGTTGTCTGTTAGTGGTATTTTCTTGATAGAGTGTTAGAGAAAGTTCTGGGGTGGCTTTTGCATACTGCATGGAGGATTGGAATAAGGAGGATTTGATTGAGGGAGATTTGAGATGGGGATGGGATGGTGTCGTGTGGTGAGGTGAGGCTGGAGTGATGGGTTTGAGGGCTGTTGTTATGGGGGATGGGGATGGGATGGGACGGATGTGGAGGGATGGAAATGGATGGGGGGGTATGGATGGGATGGATGGGATGGATGTGGAGGGATGGATATGAATGGGGGGGTATGGATGGGATGGATGTGAATGGAGTAATGCTAACTGGTTGGGTATTGATGGGATGGATATGAATGGGAGGAATACAAGTTGAGAGCTGGGAATCTAATAGTAAGGTAGGTTAGGTCAAATAGGTCAAGAAGGACGGTGATCAGTGTAGGGGGAGTATTGAAGTTTAACAGTATGCGCGAGAGTGATGGTATCCATAGACTTCCGATGTTTGAGATATTAAATGGGTATTGTGGTGGATTCTGTAGGATGTTACATGTCAAATACATGGGACAGGTATGGGTGAAGGGGAATTGAGCTCTTTGGTGAACATTGCAATGAGCTGAAGAATGACTCTCCCGTGAGTAATTTGACCACGAACAGAAGTGATTGCGTGAATCCCAATTCTTTAATGGTGGTTGTTGTGGCTGTAACTTGCGGTGTGGGATGGGTAAATAGTGATGCTCAAAACGAGTACCCGAGTTGAAAATTCGTCGGTTGAGAAAAATCTCGGATAAAGTTGCTTCGCGGATCTTGTGTTACGGGAGGTTGGATCATCATGTTGCCGAGATGATGCTTTATATATTGATTAAGGAAACCCCGGGATTATGAACTCTTTTTCCTTCTTTTCTTTCTATTTCTTTTGCAACCGGAACCTTTGAAGCGTTCTGGTGCGTATCATGTGATAAGTATTTCAAAAGAATATATAAAAGAATCAGTCTGTTGCAACATAGACATAGGAGGTCTTCCCCATATTATTCTCATGTCTCTGGACAATCGAGCACTTGCTTTGCGAGATGGTATATAAGATCCTACCTGACATCAATAACCAGCCAACCGGTACGGAGTGTCAGTTGACTATCGCTCGGCACATTGTTATCTTAGGGGAATAAAAACTTATAAATTTCAATGACAACCATTGAAACTTTGACAGGAGCACTACCCCCTCAATCGAGATTGAATCTAAGATGCCATCATCGTAGACCCATTCCTTCATTGTACTAGTACATGATAGGGTCTAGTGTCCAGCTACGAATAGCTCGGTGCTCAGATAAAACTCGTATACAAGAGGGTCAACAGCGAAGGGCGAGAACAAACGAGGGAACAACTTGGAAGCCGTCGCTCGAGCACTGGAAAATGGATTAGAGTTGCTGGGACGGACTTGATTTTCTTGGCGCACGGGTGATGGGTACAACACGAGACCGCATTTGTTTTCTCCTCGTGTAAAGTAAAATCGATAGAAACTCAAGAAATGAGCATTTTCAAATGTAATGACGGCATGCTTCGATATCAATGGGCGGGCTACACAAAGATTGGCAGCGAAAGCAGCACAAAAGACATCGAGAAGCAATCAAGGTTTCTGACATCCACCCACGCACTTTAAAAACATATCAAAAAGTAACCAAGGTGTCTGATGTGCAAGCGGGACACGTGACTAGCATTGGAGTACTTCATCCAATACCATCCATCCAATCCATTTGATAAAGAACGAAACATATCATCCATTTCAATTAGACTAAATCGGGTACCCTACTTTCGGGCCACCCCTCTTTTGGGCCATCTTAAAAATTTATATTATATAATATTAAAACATTAATTATTCAACAACTATTTGATATTATAATAAATACTTAAGGATACATTTTCATTATCATCATTAATATCTTCTATATCAATTTTATAATTTCCTGCTTTAATTTGTACCTTCCTAATCTCTTTAATCTTAGAAAACTTCGAATTTGAATTAGTTTTCACCTTACATTTCTTTTTAGGAATAATTTGCTTCAATTAATACTCTAATTGCTTTATTCAATAACTAAATTATAGAATTTCATAATCCTTAGTATCAAATCCCTTAATAATCTTCCTAAAAAGCTAACAATAAGTATAAAAATCAATCTCTTCATTTTAAAGGAATATATATATATAATCTTAAATTATTAGCTTTTTGAAACATTTTAAAAGTTGAAATTATAAACTCCTTATTCTATTAATATATAAAATCATTATTAGAAAGTAAATTCTAATTTATAACTTCTTTATTACTATTCTCAAACAACAATCTGAATATAATAGACTTAATATGATTTAAAGGTTATAAACCTAAAGCTTTTTATTTAGCTAATATATTATACTTTGTTAAATTATTTAATTATACTTTCTAATAATATATAAAGAAATTGATCTTTCTAATTACTCTAGAATCCAATAAAGAAACTAATTTATTAAGGTAATACTTATATACTCTTTTGAAAAATGAGAAAACGAATAAATCAAAAGGTTGTAGAATATATAATGTATATAGTAAAAGAAATAAAAGGTGTATATTGTACTTAAAGTATTTATATATAAATTCAATAATTTTATAATTTTTATATTTATTTAATATAAGAAGTCTTGGTTTATTTAATAAGAGGAGAGCTGTTTGAGGTATAAAACCCTTTTTAAGTTATTTTAGGATAATATCATTTATAATCCATTTATTATTTGTAATAATGAAATACTATCTTTTATAAGGTTTCAAATTAGTTGGAAATCATTATTGTTATATTAATTTTTTTCAATATAATAAAGGAATTAAGAATTCTTTTTATAATTGAGATATACTTTATAAATAATATTCAAGCTTTAAAATCAAACTCTTTTTTCTAAATAAAACAATATTCTGAGCTTCTCAAAACTAATCCATTTAATTCCTAATCTTCTTATATACCTACTTTATTTATATTATAATAATGTTAAAGCTTAATATAATAAATTAAAAGTAAATCTAACTTTAGAAATTATTAATTAATAATATCGATAATTATATTTTTAATATATACTAAATCAATCTTAACTTGTCTTTTAATTCTAATCTTTAGATTCCTTTAAAGAAAGTTCTATACCTATCATTTCCTAAATATAAAATCATTTCCTTTAATATTAAAAAGATACTCCCTAATTTTACAAATTTATTAATATATAAAACTAATACTTAAAAACTCTTAAATTAATATTTAATTTATTAATTATTTCTTCTATATCGAGATTATCTTTTACATATATTATATACCTTTATTATAAAATAAATAATTATTTATACAATTTTGAAAAATAATTTTTGAAATCCTATAATCCAAAGTAGCTTATTAAATTAAACATTTATTTACTAATACACATAAAGCCAAATTAATATCAACTTCAATATATATCTTAAATATAATATAAATAATAATATATTAAAATTTTAAATTAATTGATTTAAGAATTATAAAGTTATTAAAGATTTAAAATAAAAGGTTACTTTCTACAATAAGCTTTTTTAAGGTGGCCTAAAAGAGGGGTGGCCTGAAAGTGGGGTACCCGACTTACTCGTAGTCATGCAGATAAAACTACTGCACGCCAAGCCACTATGATGGGTAGTCCCGGCAATCGCATACGTGGGAACTTGGAAGCCGCACTGCGATGCACCATAATACTGCCATTACTCGTAGATGCTGTATAGGATGGCTGCTTTTCCTAGATTTTAGTAGCATCTAACCTCCCTCCAAAAGGTAGAGAGTAGTCGAATTCTAAATACAGATAAACATTATCTTCATTGTCGTACTCGTCTTCTTATAAGATGGCTTTTCCTTTCCCTGGATTGTGGCCCGTCTATTGTTCTCTCTCTTCTCAACCCTCTCCGTTTGTATCACCGTCTCTCACTCTTTTCTTCCTTCCTTCTGTCTTTCGATATGAAGCTTTCAGTATTGTCGATTTTTGCCATTGTGGTATTTGCAAATGCTTCCGCTCCTTTGGAGAGCCGTCAATCGAATTGGACCGTCGGACAAACTGTTCAGACAAGCAGTGGACCGGTCAATGGACATCCTAGTCTAAATAGCTCGCAAGTTTCCGAGTATCTTGGTATTCCATTTGCCAAACCACCAGTCGGGGACTTGAGATTCGCCGCGCCAGTTGCATACAATGGTAATACGACCATCAATGGTACCAACTTTGTGAGTAAAACTCCCTAAAGGCACTTGTCAATTGCTAATACAAAAGTAGGGATATACATGTCCTGCCCAAACTACCACATACAATGCTACCATCATCGCACAGTCAGATGTTACTTCAACAGGGTTGGGATTACTGACCCTACTTGGAGACTTGACCGCACAGAGCGAGGATTGCTTGACTTTGAACGTGTGGACGAAACCACAAACTGGCGATGCGAAGAAGGCCGTATTATTGTGGATTTATGGAGGCGCGTTCAGTAGTGGATCATCTGCCAGCCCAGCATACAATGGACAATACATTGTGGAACAAGAGGATGTGATTGTGGTAACCTTCAAGTAAGCCTCAAGCTTCTCAGACTCTTGGATTATACTGATTGAAAACTAGTTATCGACTGAACATTTTTGGCTTTTCTGGTAGCCCCGATAGTCCTGCCAATGTCGGACTCCTAGATCAAAGATTAGCCGTTGAGTGGGTTCGTGACAACATTGAGAATTTCGGTGGTGATGCCTCCCGTGTCACTCTGTTCGGACAAAGTGCTGGTTCAGCATCGGTCGATCTATACAGCTATGCTTGGGTGCAAGACCCCATTGTTGCTGGTTTCATTCAAGAGTCTGGCACAGCACAGAGTTGGGATCTGCCAAGCACAGCAGAGTATGTCGCTACAGCCTGGTACAATGTGAGCGAAGCTTTGGGATGTGGGGGCGCATCCTCCAGCAACGTTACTAGTTGTATGCGTACCAAAAACACAACGGAAATTCTCAATGGGATATCTGCAACCCCAAATTCCAGTGGATCTTTTGGTATATTAGGAAGCTTCCTGCCTACCGTCGACGAGATTGTCGTGTTTTCCAACTACACTGAACGCTCTTTAGCCGGCAACTTCACAAGTAAACCCCTATTGATTGGAAGCAATGATGAGGAAGCCGTTCTATTTGTCGCCGCGAATGCGCTTCAAGGAATCAGCACTTCCGATGTGGCTGCGCAGCTTATCGACTTAATCGGATTCACTTGCCCAAGTGGTTACCGCGCAAATTACTCGATTCAAGCCAATGTCAACACCTGGCGTTATCGCTACTTTGGCTCTTTCCCAAATACGATGATTGTTCCCAATGCTGGTGCATGGCATTCGGCCGAAATACCCCTTCTTTTTGATACAAACCTTGCCAACCCTCCTGAGACGACCGAACAGATAGCAATCGGAAAATACATGCGTGGGGCATGGGCTGCCTTCGCCAAGAATCCTGAAAATGGCTTGACTAACTACGGATGGCCAAAATACGACGCTGCAGAGGATACGCTCATTAGATTGGCATACAACAATCAGACTGGCACAAATGCTGTAAACCCATCGTTATACGATGCGAATTGCCCTACAACACCAGTTTTTAGCATGAGTATGGATAACTCAATATCAACTTCGACAGGGACTTCGACAGGCAGCTCAAGCTTAGGCTCTGCACCTGCAACTGTATCAACTTCCGGGGGAATCAGTTTGGAACCTGGTTTTGTTGGCTTATTGTTAGCAGTGATAATTGGATCGTACTTCATAGTGTAAGTTTCACCTAAGTCGTTTATGTTGTAATCTTCATACTAACTCTACGTAGGAAAGAGATGAGAGTAAATTTGATCTTTCTTTAAATCACGCTTAGATTGTATGGTAATTTTGCACATGAGATTGCTTTTCCAAGAGTCATCATGATGTAAACGACATACACCGCACCGCACATGAACTACCTTCGGATCTCTATCCGCTTGACCCAGCTCGTAAAACAAGAGTATGCTTAAGGAAATTTTAAAAGCCAGGCATAAATAAAACACAAAGTCCCGATATCAATCAAAATTCCTCAGCCCTTGGTGCGAGGTGCTCTGCAATGTTTAAGGTCAAATTCGAATCGACGGCGAGCTCTTGTACTGCTATGGCTGCGAGGTATCTTGGATGCGCTGTGGGCACGCATGGGTTGACTGCGAGCTTCTCTGGACTTTCTCTCTTCGAGCGCGGATCCGTGAGAATCATGACTACCATGGAGGCTGCTGGGTTGTGAACGCCGTTCTCCGAGGTATGTTGAGGGGCATTTGCCAGCGGATATAGAGGCTGGCGTTGAATGGGGGTTGAAAGCCGGGTAGTTAACTGGGCCGTACGTCGGGTTGTTTTCCGGATCTTAATTAAGGCGTAGGCCGACTCGTAAGCCTGGCCAGAATCCATTTTCGATTATTGTTCCGATATAAATGCTCCAAGTCTATCTTCTTGTCTCACCATAGTATCTTTGTTCGCCGACATGTGTTCGCCTAGCGCTCTCTCCAATTTTGTTATGTGTGCAAGTCCGTGTTTGACAATGTTGTAAATTCGCAATTCATCGTAGTCTTGACTGTCAAATCTCGCTCTAGCATGTCCGATTACTTCCATTACTTCCGCGCTTCCCCGTAGGGGTTTATTCTCTTCCCTACCATTATCCAGTGTCGACGCAGCATAGCCATGATGTACAATATGCACGAATCGCCTTGATTATATCTTCCTTGTACGTACTGTTGCACGCTTGGCACCGAGAGGAGAGGACCGCTCAATTTACCTCCCCACCTAAATCACATTCCTACCCCTGGGAATGAAAGCTAGAACCCTTGTTGGTATCATAAACACCGAGTTCGGTTGGCGGCTTGTTCACATCCCTGTTGGTGGAGTGCATGCATAGGGGTAAGATGGGTAAGTCTGGATCGAAATCGCGATTGAAGCGAGTGGTGATGATGGCTTTAGCGGGGTCTGGAAGGATTGGGTTACGTAGGCAGTTGCCCTCGATGTGGTTGAGGTTCATGTCTATTGAGATCTGGCTAGAGGTTGTTGACATGGTGAATACTGGGTTTGGGTTTGTGGGTTGTAGGCCATATACTGTTTTGGAAAGGGAGGGGGAATATCTGTGGTTAGTTTTGTGTACACGTTGAGAGTTTGTCAAGAAGGTGGGGTAGGGAAGGGGAAAGAAAAGAGTACTCAGGAGACTTAAATTGTTTTGCTCATAAGGAAACTTGTAGTGAGGAGTCATTTACTATTCACCGTGGCGCATTCTGTTAATTCGTGTCGATAATCCGTTTTGTTTAGAACGAATTATCGTATGAGATTCATTTGCTGTTAGTTGTGAACCGACTTCCCCGAGTTCTGTCGTTTTATTCATTTGCCTATTGAGGGAGTCATTGAGATGAAATCGTTCTGAGTGAGTCGGAGGCAGAGATCGTCGGCTGGCGCATCGAGTAGGTATCCTAAAAATAGGGGAGCGTATTAGAACAAAAAGTGAGTTGGAACAATAGGCCAAGTAAACAGAATTTGTACGTCAAGCGAAATCTTTTGGTAACTTATTTGAATATCCAAAATTGCATCGAAACAAGGAAACTACGATATTCAAGCCAGATTGCAGAATTGGGAAAAGACGATCAGAGGGTTAGGGTAAGGTTAGGGTAGGGTTAGGAGGAGGAGCACGTGTTAAAGTGGGTAGTGATCACTTCCTCGCTCTGGAAGGAGACTATTTTCTATGGCTCGATTCTTAGCTTCTTATTCAAGAATTTTGTATATTTAAAGAGATCTGTCCTTCTACCTTCTTGATTCAAAAACATACAGATTATTACTTCTATATCGTTGTATTTATTACAGCTTTTGTAATCTATTGTCTATTCAATCGACAACATCGAGGGACGCATATCCAATTCACATATACGTCTTCCTTCATAGATAGTCCTGTCAGGAAGATTATCAACTACAGGTCACTGTACCTGTCTTATCAATATAGCTATCTTTAAAGCTTTTTAAAACACCATTAAGAAGAGACAGCTGGTCAATATTTCACAGCTTGATAAATACGCCTCGAAACGAAGACATTTGTTCGAGGACCGATCCTTCATATCTCCATTTCTTCAACCGCCAGTTGGGGGATTCCAGTTTTGAGATGGATGATTTGATAGAGCACTCGCTGTTATTGACGTTGAACGAAGCCTCACGAGATGCTTTACCCGATTTTGGATCAGAGTCAGAAGGCGAGACAAGATTCCATGCCAGTCCGCATCTTGGAGAAAGTGGGGAAGAGCAAGCAGAAGCCGAGGATGATTCTTTTCCGTCCTTGAATGAATTAAGAGAAAGCATTGTGGGCACATTGGATGCTTCGATCGCAAATTTTGACGATTTATTTTCGCGCCGGGGGGTTGTCTCACAGCCACAACTTTTCAAACTTACAGATGACTTACTGGGAATAATTTTGGGCATTCTTGTAGAGCCACAGCTCGCCGAGCCTCCTTCTACCATTTGCTATCAAAAGTATGCCAAACGGAGTCGAAGGAATGAAGAGTTTAAAGAGAGCGTAAAAACGATCCAGAGACTGCGATTGGTATGCCGAAGGATTTGCAATGTCAGCTCACCCTTTCTTATTCCTATTGTGCGTGTTGAATTGAATACACAATCCCTTGCGCGCCTTGATATGATCTCTCGTCATTCTACTATCGGCAAAGGCGTTAGAACTGTAAGAGTCATTACTCGTTGCTTGGACCGCGTATTGGCCAATAGCTTTGAGAATTTCCGTCGTCTTAAGTCTAGGTACTTACGTCAATCTCTAGAGGATTTGATGAATACTAAACTTTCGGTAGACGAGGAGGGAGAGTCCAGGATGAGTTGGGAGTTATATCGGCGGTATATATCTGCTGGATCGTATAATAGTATCTTAATGGGTATCTTGTATTATGGGTTTCATGTATCGGATGGATCAGATGATAGTAACGTTCACCAAATCTTGCGTCAAATCTTCTGGAGCAAAGCTTTTGAGCGGTATAAACATCTCCTTGCAGAACAAGAAAACCTAACAAAAGAGAACGTATTTCTGGAGGGCGTTAGCACTGCGGTCGCTCGAATGCCAAGGGCAACAACACTTCAAGTTTACGACAAGGACCGTGATAATCTTTATGAACATCGCCCTCATCTAAGATTTTTTTCAAAATCAAAATTATTGATTGGATATTGTGAAAATGAGGATAAACTCATCGACGATATTAATAAATCCAAATTATTGGGCTGTGGGGATTATGACGATTCAAATTTCCGAATCGATAAAAGTTGGAGTTCACCATCCGCTCAGATACTTCTTAAGCTTCCAGCGGCTATCCACAAGGCTGGCAGGTTACTCGAAAACATCTGCATTGAAATAAAGGGTCCCAGAGATTACAGAACTTTGGCCTCATTTGAGGGCTTCCAAGCACTTTCAGCTGCGACACAGCGGCTAAAACAGTTCACGTTTTATAACCAATATGGGTTCGATGATGAAAGCGATGAAGAAGATGAGTGGACGCCCAAGAAATTAGATGGTCTGATTACATATCTCTCTGCGATTGTGAACACAAATGCTCTAGAAAAGATTGACATCAATCTATGCTACCTCGGTATAGGGATGGGGAACTTAGACATGGAGAAACCTAATCCATCGGTGCCTTCTTTAGGAACAATTCTCACCAGTCGTATATGGCCGAATCTGAAATCAGTATATTTGTACGAAGTACCGCTTCATCTATCAGAGCTAGAAACATTCATAGACAATTTAAAGTCATCAAATATAGAAATGGAATTACACCTTGTGTATCTCATAAGTGGCTCGTGGAGCGAGGGACTCGAAATATTCAAAAGAAATTCGATCCAAAATTTGATCCTTGGGGAGCCAATTTCAAAGTCGGAGTGCCGAGCATTATTTTGCAGCGGAAAGCTTTTTTGGGACTGGGACAAGAAGCAATTTTATTGGGACTGTGGCGATTCGCTGGTGGACAGTAAAATAAGTCATTACTAAGGATGGAGCACAGTCGATCCTCCTCCAAGTCTCGAATCAGTGTATCAGGAGAAGTTTGTGCTTTATCCAAGCGAGGATTCATAGTTCACGGCCTTCCATAGTTTGCATATCACCTTGGATGTACAGCAGCAGTGGAAGCAAGTATAGAGTTTCCGATCTAGTTGAAAGCCATGGTAGTGATATTATTTGTTGAGTATAAGGGGGCATTGAACTGTATGCGGTTCATGATAGACAGGATGAAGATACCCGGAAGGTTGTGGTGTAATACATATCAGGAGGTATGTAGTCCACAGCCCGACATGATAAACTTGATTCTCTGGAGTTTGGGGCAAGAAAAGAAATTTACTGACTGTTTGCGCAGCGTTATAGTGAACCATATAGGATATTGGAACTTTCCATGTTTGAGGTAGTTTAATATAGGTAAAATTTCAACACAACCATTTCCAAGTCATGAAAGCTCCATGAGAAAGCACTACTCAGTGATATCATGAAAGAAGAATGAAACTATTCACCCATTAAGCCAGAATCCATACGATATCGCACATTGACACACAGTACAAGAAGCTCTTCTCGTAAACCACAATGGTATTCATAGACACAAACTCTCTGAATCAACAAGAGCTGGCCATAACACAACACTCCGCGACTCCGATGCCCATACCAAAGCACTAAAAATAGCCCTCCACTCGAAGTGGTAATCTTCAACCACGCATTTCTCGGACATCAGGAGATACTGTATTGCTTTTCCACTGGAAGAATATACGGATATGCCGTGTTCTCGAGAGATGGGAAGCAAAGGGGGGTTTTGAAGATGTCGTCTAGATCTAGGTATGTTTTGTTGATTTTGTTGACCCCCACTAGTTCCGAGCTGCGACGCGACGACCACTAAGATATAGGCTCAGCACAGACATCCATCCTATCAGTCCACTGACAAACTCCGGAAACTTACCGAACGCTCTAAGATTACAGAGAGAGCACAGCACAGAACCACCAAATGTTCCACGCTCGAATTGATACTTTCATACAGCTTTCTCTCGTCTAAAAAGGTCCTTCAAGTGTATATCGCACAAATGGAATACTCCTTTGGGAAGAAGAGGGCGTTCGAAAGAATGGAAAAAAGTTAATGCATCCATCATACTCTTCAACACAATCCAAGGTAGGAATCCCTCGACTGATAACACGCTACAGCAGGTCAGGTATGTATGGCTGGCACAGCACATCAAGTACAGTCAGTATGTGGGATGTGGTGTTACAGTGATTACATGACCGGACACCGAGCACCGAAGTCTTCTATTGCGATTCAATGGGTCTTGTGTGCTTTGCTATCATGGATAATTACATATAAGATAAGACAAATATCCTTTTCATATTTTGCATTTTGGATACCTAGAACTCTAATTTGCGCGAGATATACGAACTTTTGTCAAGATGAGGTTCTTATGTTTACATGGAAAAGGCACAAGCGCTGAGATCTTTTCTATTCAATCTGGTCTGTTATCTTCTCTTCCCTAGGCATATTCACTCAGATTCCCATTCTACAATCCATTTCCACTGTATAAAACCATATTCTAACACATACTCCTCAGCAACATTCCGCCGTCTCCTTCCCCCCTCATACACATTCGATTTCCTCGATGGTCCCTACACATCTCCCCCCGCAGCCGGGGTGTCCCTCTTCTTCAACCCTCCATATTACGCCTATTACCACTCCTCAGATCCCTCCGCCATCCGCGAATCCTACTCCTATCTCCAAGAACACCTTGATAAAAATGGTCCATACGATGGAGTAATGTGTTTTTCGCAAGGATGTGCGCTTGTCGCAGGTTTCTTGCTCGATCATCAGGTTACACGACCACATGTTCCTTTACCGTTCAGCTGTGCCATTTTTATCTGTGGAGGTATGCCATTACCTATCATCGAAGATCTGGGTATCGAGATTCCATCCTTTGCACGAGATTTGGAAACGCAATCTGTGAAAGAACTCTTTGCGACTGCCAATTCGGTCGAAACGGCCAAACCCGGAGATGATTATTGGAATACAAAGGCGGAGAAAACTTCAATTCTGAATGTGGAGAATATAGACCTGGATAATCCATATGACATACAAGTTCCTGAGGGATGGAAGATACAAATCCCTACGGTGCATATTTATGGGCAGAAAGATCCCCGTCGGTTGGCGGGTCTGAATTTGGCGAGCTTTTGTGCGGGAAAGAAGAAGGTTTGGAATCATGGAGGTGGTCATGATATTCCTAGGTTGTCGACGGTTTCGGACAAGATTGCGGGATTAGTGCAGTGGTGCACAAATGCGGTAGGTGAGGAGAGAGAGGCCGAAGGTTTGTGATGTGGTATGATGTGATGGGTGATCGCATTTGAAAGAGCCTTGTAAGATCATGGTTTCTAAAGTTTCGCACACGAGTCGATTTGGACGAGCAAAGAGAGTTTTTAATAAGAGGATCTGAGACTTAACGACATGGCCTGTTTGTAACGATCTGCAATATGGTTGCTTACTTCGGAGGCTGCTGCCATCATTTTAGAATTTAGATGGATCTTGGGTATATATCTAGCCCTTTCAATTTTTCACTGCCCAGTATACCAAGCTGAAGGCATTCTATATAAATTATATTACATTTCACTACAATATCCTTACACTTCACCTCTTCCCTTCGTCCCTCAAGGCAATATCTTATCTCCTTCTCCTCTCTTTCTCGCCTCCTCTCCTAATCTATAAGGTCCCAGCGGCACCTTAATATCACCCGCATATCCAACATCTCCCTTCGCCTCTTCCAATTTCTTCGTCACCTTCCCTACCATTTTGGCAATCCATTTATCGTTAACCGTAGCGCTGACAAGCGTTTTCTTCATTCCTTTGTGAGCCTTATGGTTCATCACGAGATTCGATCAGTTACCGAGGAGAAGAAAAAGGGGAGGCGCGGGAATGGGATATTGGAAGCAGTGCTGAAAAAAAGTATTTCAATAATAGAGATGATGAGAAATAAGGATCGAAAATGAAAATACATACATCCTTCACTCCTCCCTTCACAACCCCCACCAAATCTCTAAATCCGTGGATTTCTTCGTCCATCCATCGTTTTTCCTTCTCGACTTCGATTACTTTACTCGCTTTTACGACACTGGCCACCCAATCTAAGAGCTCTTGATCCATCACTATGGGTAATTGTGCATGTGCTGCTATGTGAACTGCGCATTCGTCTTTTTTTGATGTATCATCTCCCTTCCCCTCCCCTCTTCTTTCCAATCCACACGAGTCCGCTCGCGCAGGTACTATATGTTCATGATGCGGCAGCAAAAAACTCGGAATCGCAAACGTGGCATCTGCGCCCCCCAGCCGCACAACTTGTTTCAATGCGCTGGCGGAGGGGAGAGTGCGATATACTTGTATTTTGGTGCTGGAGAGCGAACAGTGGATGTCGTAGGCGGGAAGGAAGGGGACTTGTGCGAGACCGGTGATGGAATCTAGTTGGAGTACGAAATTGGCGGGGAGGAGCCATTCGTGGATGCGTTTTTGGATGGGGGGGATGGGAGATGAGGAGGAGGTGGTGGGGAGATGGGGATGGGGATTGGATGACCTGCGAGATGCGAAAGATGCGGAGGAGAAGATGGGAGAGGTGGGAGAGGTGGGAGATGAGAGAGATGAAGGGGGGGTGTAAATAGTAGTGTTTTTGAAGACTTTCGCGGAAAGGATTTCCTGAATCCATTTTCCGGATCCGGTAGCTGTGAGCGAGGAGATTTTCACAGGGTGGAAGTGTGCGAGGGGATTCAGGAGCAGCCGGAGGAGCATGGGGAGTCGATGTAGGATGGCGCGGATGTGAGGTGGTACTAGGGTTTGCAGCGTGGTGACTTTGATGGAGCGGGAGGGTGGGTGTGTGATGGAGGGTTGGCGGTGCAGTTGCGAACAGATTGCGGCGCGGATATCGTTGTTGCTGTTTTCGTTTACGGTTTCGTGGGGGTTGCTTTCGGACTTGGAGTGCACGAGGTGCTGGACTTGTTGACGACAAATTTCAATGCTGTTTGTGGAGCGGATCATCTGGATGGTTTTGTTGTATTGTTCGTTGGCGGCTTCGGTGTCGTCTGGGGTGATGGTTCGGATGATTTTGATGCCCTCTTTTATATCTGTATCTATCGGTACATATCCGTTAATCATATCAGTTTTTACCGTCCTATCCTCATTTTGATTGACGTTGCCATCCTCAATCCCGTTCTCACATTCCACCTCATTCCCCTTAACAGCTCTCAACATTTTCGAATTCACCTCCCACACCTGATTCTTCCCTTCATCATCACTCTTCCGTTCCATCCCATCCTCCGCATCCTTAAAACTCGACTCTCCCTCCCCCCCCTTCACACTCACAAAACAATCTCCCACTTCAATTCCCCTCCCCAACCTAACCACCACCTCTTCACACACAATCCCAATTTCGATTTCCTCCTCCTCTTTCCCCTCCCCCACCACCATCTTCATCCCTACCTCCACCCCATGCACCACCAAACTCATCGCGCTCACCCTCCACGTCACGCCCCTTACAACCATCAACCCATCCACATCCGTATCAATCTCCAACCCCGGAATATCAAAAACCCCCACCCTATCCTCAATAAACTGCAGTCCAAACCGTCGCAATAACAATCCCCTCCTCAACTGTCTCCTGAGAATCTTTCCCACAAGAGGAAATTGGAATAGACACACCAGAGGCACGCATCCCCAACATACCACGGTGAAGAGATAATAAAAAAGCCAACTCGTGCTACAAATACAGTATATCAAATCTAGCATCGTAGCGAGCTGCCACAAGGGAAAATGATGCAGGATCCTCACACTTCCACTCGCACTCCTATCAAACTCTCCCTTTTCCTCTCTCCGATCACCACCCTCTCTTTCTCTCTCACTTTCTCTTTCCCTCCCCCTCTCCCTCTCACCCCCCACAAGCAACATCACCTCCAAAACCGGCGCTCCAGAAAAAACCCAATAAACCGGCCATCGAAACGGAATACACAGACCCATCACCAACAAGACATACAGCCAGGGCGAGGAGATCAAATAGCACGAATGATGATAGATATGATGTTTCCTGGTACTGGGCATCGGTACTCGATTACACATACTGATGCTGGATTTTGATTTTGATTTTGCGAATCAAGCTTTGCGTTGCACACGCTGTGCGTGTATGTATTTATATATGTATCTGTATGTGGCGGAATCAAAGTTGCGTATACTAATTTTATGGACGGATGGGAAAGATAGAAAGTTAGAAAGGAAACAGGTACCTGGGTTCTCTATATAATTATATATGAAAGGAAATACTCTATTCTAATCGAGAAGAGAAGAGAAGAGAACTTGTAGACAGACGATGAAGGTGATATGTACAGAAGATCAATTCCATATAATCGTCAAAGCGATCGACAGGTACAAGTGCCTAGTAGGTATTCTAGATCTAACACTTATGGAGTTTCCAAAATTTCAAATCGAAGAGGAGGGATAGGAGGAACATTAGAGTTCACATAGGAACGACGTCATTGTTAGATATCATTGACTAGCTAGACTTCTAGTCTTAAGCTACCAAAAATAAAAGTTGCTTGGATATCTTTCATGATTATAGACTAGAATTCACCTGCTTTAACTTAAATCTTTTGATGGTATCTAACAAGTTCCAATGAACAATTGCAGTTTATCACATTTCATTCTACTATTTTATGATTCTGTAAATGTCATATTCATTCCATTCGATTCCCATTCATAGATAAACAAATAAAACTAACTAATATACATAAAAGCCTTAAGCCCGCATAAGACAACCTGAAACCATTAAATCATCATAATCATCATAAATCACATGAATTATATCATTCAATCGACCACTCATTTGCCTGCCGATTTAATTTACAAAACTCGGTTATTGGTGGTGTTTCCAAACTCAGAAGTCTCTCCCAATCTTTTTTCGCCCGAGAGGCCATGGGTACCAGTTGGTCCGGTCAAGCCTGAACCATGGCTTAGGCCTGTAGTACCGGTGGAAGTGGTGTTGTGTCCAGTGAGGCCTGAACCATGGCTTAGGCCTGTAGTACCGGTGGAAGTGTTGTTGTTACTAGTCAAACCAACGTCATGCTTCAAACCAGTAACATTGTTACCCGAAGAACCGGTGCTGTAACCAGTCAAGCCGGATCCGTGAAGACCGGAGCCATGGCTCAAACCTGTAGTGCCGGTAGAAGTGGTGTTGTGCCCGGTGAGCCCAGAGCCATGGCTCAAACCTGTAGTGCCGGTAGAAGTGGTGTTGTGCCCGGTGAGCCCAGAGCCATGGCTCAAACCTGTGGTGCCGGTAGAAGTGGTGTTGTGCCCGGTGAGCCCAGAGCCATGGCTCAAACCTGTGGTGCCAGTAGAAGTGGTATCATGACCGGTGAGTCCAGAGCCATGGCTCAAACCTGTGCTGCCGGTAGATGTAGTGTTGTGCCCAGTGAGTCCAGAGCCGTGGCTCAAACCAGACCCTGAAGTGTTACCCAATGGAGAAGAGTGAGTCTCATTCTCTAATCCTCTGTTCTTGCTGTGCTCATGTCCGCCACCTGTAGAGAAGCTGTGATCTTCACCGTGATCACGTCCAACTCCCCGAACTCCTTCATCTCCAGGACGATGTTCATGTTGGTCAATCTTACCCTCTCGAAGGGCAGCATTGGCCGCAGGATCGTCCATGACTGGAGCAGTGAAGATATGATCAGGGCCAGTAGAGTTATGAACTGGGTGCTCGACATTTGGATTATGGCCGTGGGTGTTGTCAGAAACCTGGACATTTCCGCGAGGGGCTCCTGGAACACCGGTTCCTACCGGACCAGCTGATACCGAATGTCCACTTTCATGGGGAAATCCGGTAGGTCCGCTGATACCACGGTTCCTCTCAGCGCCGTGAAGTTTATCTCCAAGATCTTGACCCACAGGCTTTTGGTCAAGACCGTGAGTGTTGTGATGCTTGTTGACTTCGTAGGCTGTTCCCGCAGCACCTCCTGCAAGGGCAGCGTCTCTACCGTAGTGATGCCCTTCCTTAGAGCGATCACTATCGACCCTTGGATCCACCTTGTTCTCAAGGTTTGAGGAATGGGGACCAGCAGTAGTGTTTGCTGTGTTGTGGTGATGTTTGTCAGTCTCGTATGCAGCAGTTCCGGCTCCGCCAGCAAGAGCAGCATCCCGTCCATAGTGATGCTGCTCTCTTGAGCGATCGCTATCAACTCTTGGATCAACCTTATTCTCGAGATTTGAGGAGTGAGGACCAGCAGTAGTGTTAGCGGAGTTATGATGATGCTTGTTGGCTTCATATGCAGCTCCACCGACAGCTCCAGCTACGGCAGCGTCACGCCTATAATGGTGGGTTTGTTGCTTCGAGAGATCGCTATCCACTCGTGGGTCTGCTTTGTTGGCTACGTTAGACGTGTGTGGACCGGCAGTGGTGTTATGTCCATGGCCAGCTTCGTAGGCTCCAATAGGGATTACGCCAGCAGCAGCAGAAGTACCCTTGCTACCATGAACACCGTCGGCCTCTTCAGCGCCACCACCTTCAACTCGAATTTTAGATTGGGGGCCATGTCCATGATGAGTGTGAGCATCTTCGGTGGGAACACTGGAACCACTCAAATGAGGGTCTAGAAGATTTGCAGTCGCCGTAGTATGAGGTCCAGTAGTTCCTCGAATACCACCTTGGCTATGTTGGTTGTTATGATGATGAATGCCCTCTCCAACAGCTCCTGCGGTGCCAATCGCGGCAGCGTCACGACCTAAGTGATGTCCTGAGGAGCCAGTTGTGGTTGTACCGTACGCGTCCTTCGTACCGTAACCAGATGAGGTCTCGTTTGGAAGACGATTTCCATCCAAATCTGAGTCGACTCTTGGGTCAGCGGCATTCAATGCAGCGGAGTTATGTGTTCCGTGAGAACCCTCAGTATGTCCATGAGTTGGATGGGATCCAAGACTGGTGTTTTCATGCTTTCGGTGTTCATGTTCAGCTAGCCCTGCAGCACCAACGGCTCCACTTCCAAGGGCTACATCTCTGCCAATGTGGGAATTTCCGTGACGGTCAATGTTATCTCTACCATGAGTATCTAACCCATTTCCTGAAGGTATGGTAGTAACACCACCCAAGCCAGAAGCAGTGTTTGATGGCACACCAGCATTGTGTGATCGGAGAGGATCTGTGGTATTGTGTCCTGTAAGCCCAGCCTCATTTGTGCGAGCTGCAGAATCGATGCCATGAGCATGTGTATTTGGTCCAGTGGTGGCTGAACCAAATTCAGAATCTCTAGGTCTGTGGGGAACGTTGTCTTGAGCAAGTCCTCCTGATGTGTGGCTCACACCTGCTGGTGTAGGATTTGCGTGGGTGGTATGAGATGCATGACTGGCATCGGTGACTGCGGGTGGGTGGGTTTCAGAGTGAGGGCCCTTTGCGAGATGGCTTCCTTCGCCAGCGTTCGAGTGAGCAGCTCCATGCTTTTCAGCCTTCTTCTCCTCTTTCTGCTCAATTTTCTCAGCCTTCTTCTCTTCCTTAACTTCCTTCTCGTGTTCTGGAGTAGTGCCGTGACTATTTGAAGGTTAGTATCTGCCATTTTAGCAGTTGCAGATTAAGCTTTCTTACAGGAGTGCCTTGATCTTGTCCATGATTGCGATTTGAAGATTGTAGTGTGAGGTATGTGTGTGTTTAAGTGATTGTTGATGTACGTAAAAGTGCGATGATTAAGTTTGTGAACTAAGGGGTATCTTAAGCAAGTAGTAGATGGTATAGGGAAAGAACATCCAAAGTGATGCGGCCATAGCGAAGTATTTGTATCATTGTACCTTGGTCGAAAAGCTTCTTTGACCAGTGTTTGACAAGCTAAATCAAGGTAATGGAGGGGTAGATTTCGATATGAACGATGTCGTCAGCCTCCACAACTTGCCATCCACCGAAAGGTCGACATTCTATTGTAGCTTGGTGTAATTGTCTCATAATGGGTGGAAAGGCTAGCTGATTGGCTAGCAAACGCGTTGAATGATGTAAAAGTTACCAGGAAGATGGCGCAACAAACGAGCAAATTGTGGTGGAGTGAATTGTGCTACTGATATCAAGGTCTGATCTCAAAGAAGCTCTCCACATCAGGCTAACTTGCAGTTGAAGTATGCATGCATTGATGTAAGTACCTAGGAATCTCATCTCACTTGTTACCAACTGTATCTTCCTTCTCTTGATAGATTCTTGATAGATGATGAAACTGGTGAACCAGATCTACCGGTACATCGGGAGCTTCCAGCAAATGATGATGAATCCCACTTCTCGTGGTGGACTCGTATACTATTTAGGGATGCACTGAATCAACCAGAATAGAACAGGCTCGAGACAGGTAAAAGGGAGATAAAGTTGGCAGGGACCCGCAAAAGATCTGTTTTGATGTTGCTTCGTGGTGGTGCCTGCAGTCAAGAATCTTTTAATTACAGGTCCGTATAAAAAGGCTGCCCAGGTGTCCCCGCATTTTTCATTTGCCCCCTCTTTTCAGCCACATTGTGTGGCGGCTTGACATCATTTGAAACCTTGGAAGCGTGATCATGAATTTCTTTAGTTCATGATGCCCATGATGCCTTCTTTCAAGATTCTCTGCCTGTTGAACTTTCAATTGTTCCAAGTTTTCTCTTGTCTTGTCTTCTCTTCTCTTCTCTTCTCATCCATCATACAAGGTACAAGCCACATTGAAGAGAAATCCACAACTACCTACAACCTGATTTTGCAGTCATTGTGCTTTACTCACTGCCTAGTGCCTACCTATATGAATTTGTCTTAAGCTCTAGATAGTTTCCAGCCCTCTAGAATTCAGAGCGAGTTCACACCATTGTATAAAATGAACATTCGTCGTGTTCCTTTCGCTCATGAAGAAGTATTATTAAACCGTTTGAAAGTGGGCTGGTAGGATTGCCACTTGAGCCGCCTCTATTGTAATGCAGATTCGTCAATTGATGTCAAAATGCTCAATACTCACGCCGAAAGATAATAATAAAGCGAACGCTCAGTGTTTTCTCCATCACCATTGTAATTCATTTCACTGGTGATGTCAAGCTGCCGTGCAGTTATTAATTATTCTCGTAACATAACCAGCAAATCATGACCTCGAGAATGATGAAGGGGCTCTTATAATGTCACACAGTGATGATAATCCCTATGTACAGCGTGTGCTCACTGCCCTTGCTTATCTTATTGTACTCGTACAGAGTACACATCACCAAACACGCTGACCGGATAGGGATTAACCAGTCAGTGTTGCCATCTCGTGACAATCCTGTGATTCAACCACATTTCTGCATTTGTTGCATATCTACTGATTTGGAATTATCTAGAATTTTCTCCAATAATTTGGAATAACTTTCGCATTTGAATTTGACATTACATTGTTTCATGCTTACGAGTTTCTTATTGTTCGGGCGATCTTCTCAATGGAATGATTATAAACCTTCCAAATGATTCCAATCGAGGAACTGGTGCGTATCAATCCTCGAATAGATAGCTTCGGATTATCTAATAGCACTCCCGTTCTTGAAAATACATCATCACATTGTACACTTACTATTACCTGGTAGTAGTAAGAATAGTAAACTCTTCATCGATTCACATTCAATCTATAGCCCATGCTACGCCGACCATGTGATACGCCTGTGTAGTCTACAGTATCTGGATAGTGGGTAGGTATAAGAAAACTTGTTGTCCCAATCCATAATAATATGTGATGAAACTCGCCACTTCTTCTACTTGCAATCATTTCCTTCCATGAAGACGCAATGTGATCGGCTTTCACACCAAGCTGAGATCCAATGGATGGAACCAAACACATATCAAAGCATCGGTACAACCCTCCCGGGCCGTGCTACCATTTTTGACTTTTCTGATAACACGATCATCCCGATGCGATCGATCCCCTTTGCTCCGGACTGACAATATTTCCAGAAAACGCGGGGGATCTGTTGTCCTACCCCAAACCGGGGTATAGCCAATTATGAACCTATCAACATCGTGTTCTCTGTTGTGCAGCCTCGCTTTCAGGTACTAGCAAGGTGGCCGACATTGGACAAATAGATATGTAATTCATAGATGAGATAATCTAATATTAAGATCTTGGGTTGTTGGGTTGTTGGGCTCGCCTCTTCGAGATGTACCTAGGTGACACCCAGTAGCCAGCTCAAGAAGATGGATGAGACTGGGAGTGTTGAAACGGTGCCCCTGATTCTGTATACTCTCAGAGACCTTCCTGCACCCTACAGTCACATATAATTCAATCAATCCCAGAGTAACAGAGATCGAGCGTCCACCTATAACATGTTAACCGAGGATGCTATGCAAGTACATGTTGACCAGCCGAGCCAGCGTCACCGCCGTTCGATTGCACACCCCCTTGTGAACGAATGAGTCCCGAGGATTATGTACTGTATATAAGAGGAAGAAGAGCCAATGGCAACTAATGACAAGCTGAAAAACAAAGTCATTATACCAATCATGTCTACCCAAGCACTTGGTGAATCACCAAAAGTTTCTCCGAGACCGATGCATTAGCCAGGATATCTGTATGGCATATGCATGATACAAATGAAAATTCTATCGTCTGATCACCCAATTCATACAAATACCAACGAGCCGGCCCATCATCAAAACTCCACTTCAAAACATTGAATCTCGTATCCAATACTCATCACATCCCCATACCTCTTTAGGGTATCAGGCCCGATGCTTCTTGAAGGAAGAGGAAGGGGTCCCGACCAGCACCAGCACCAGCCAGGGCCTTTACCCCGCACGCTGTTTCCCAGTCACTGATCCTCCCCCAGCTATGTCAGTGGCCTGTCTGTCACCTGCAGCACTGGAAATCCTTTTTGGTAACTTTCTGTGAGATGTAGTGCAACCATTCGCGCGCAAGAAGAACTCCAACATTATTTCGAGATTATTTTACTCACCCCTTTCAGCTCGGCCTTTTGATCTCAGTGTTTGTAGCATAGAACGAGGGGTTTCGGTGCAATATTCGAAAAGGATATATCTATCTGTACCTTATGCTCTGCACATCTCGTTAGTATGCTTCTGTATACCAAAAAGGCACCCCCGAAAGTTCCTAAGAAAAGGTCGAGAGCCGGTAAGTGTCGATTCACTATATTGGATGATCATGGCTAATATTGATCGTTATATAAGGATGTATACATTGGTGAGTTGCCTTATTTTGTAGTTGATTTTGATTGATTTCCGATGTACTAATTGTGACATAGTAAGGAAAAGGTAGGGAGTCTGACCCTCAATCAACCCATGCAAGTCTTTAACAACAACCACAGAAAAAGAAATGCAACGAAGAACGTCCGCAATGCAATAGGTGTACAGAACGAGGTCTGCAATGCGAATATGAAGCAGTAAAGCCACGAAAACGAAGAAGGGCGGCCTATGCGGAATCTGCCCTCTCGCTCGAATATGGCTCCCCAGGCTCAGATCGCGAACGATGGCCGCGACAATATTCACAAGGGCTTAGCATAATTACAGACAAAAGTGCGGAAGATGTGCGAAATAGGTGGGAGGAAACGACAGCATATCCATTATCTGCAACTTCTGAGCAGTCCGGCTTTACTTGGGGAAGCTTTTATGATAACGACAACGAAGTGGAAGAAATAATACGCGAGGATCCATATGACAATGCTTTTTCTGGCAGCACACTGGTTCGATCACGAAGTCAATATCCAGATTTAGCAATGATTGCTCCTTCCCCAGTTGCATCTCCTCTCCTCGAATTCAGTTCACCGGTGTTTCTAGAATTTGCAGACAGAAGAAACCGCAGGGCTCTCGTGGACCATTTCTGCAATACTCTGTCTCATCTCATCGTATTCAAAGAAGACACAGGCAATCCATTTCGGCAACTTATTCTACCATTGTCTCATGCCAGTTCACCGGTGATGAACGCAATATTCGCACTAAGTAGTGCGCATATGGAATATAAGGGGGTGGAGAATGAAGAGAAATCTTCAGATTTTCACAACAACGCTTTACAAGGGCTGGCAAAGCTCATTCAACAAAATGATCAGGCAAATAGAGAAGAAATTTTAGGCGCAATAATGTTACTCGTTTACTACGAAGTGGTAAGTCACAGTACCCCCGGATGAATTATTATGGCGCAAATTAATCATGTGTTAGCTCGTACAACGCGGAAACTCGAGTATTGTACATGGTCATCTGAAAGGAGCGATGACGATTATGGATTCTAGAAACCAGGAACCGAGTCCGACGAGTCTATTTCTCGAGCGAGTATGTTCTCTGCTGGTTATCATATGGGCTTTTCTAATTAAACTAGGCCTTTCGATTTTACGATGTCATTACAGCTCTTTCTCTAGGTACACCTCCAACTACTACTTCGCAGCCTACAGCAAGCCCATTTCCTTTACCGTTTTCACCCAATGAGGCAAACAAAAATTCACCATTAGATTCGGTTGATACACTCCTTGGTCTTTCGACAGAACTATGGCCAATTATTCATCGACTTGCACACCTGCTATCTTACAAGTCTTCTCTTCAATCCGCAATTGAAGGTAACCAATTGAGTAAAGCAAGTGTTCTACGGACTGAATTAGAAAGTACATCTCAGGCTATAGAGATGGCTCTTACGAACTGGAAGCCAAGTTTTGTGGCTAAAGGACCTTCTTCACCTAGGGAGAACACCGAAGAAGACGATGCTTCCTCAAAGTATGATATTACTCCCGAGGAAGCACGTATGCAAACCATCCTTAATAATGCCGAAGCATATCGTCACTCGGCATTCATATATCTCTATCGTACCATTCAATCTCTTCCCAGGTCCCATACCTTAGTCCAAAAACATACAAATCTTTCACTAATTGCTTGTGCCAATGTTGTCGGACTAGCGGAGCTATGCGATGATGCACCAATGTCTGCGTTGTTATGGCCATTATTCGTGGCAGCATGCGAAGCCGAAACGGAAGCGGATAGGGAACTAGCGACGAAGGCCTTTAAGGGAACAGAGAGAAGACAGGGAATGCAGAATATCTTGCGTGCTTGGAAAGTGGTGCAAGAGGTTTGGAAGAGGGCAGATGAGGGGATCTATGAGGATGGAGATTGGCGGGAAATTTGTGATAGCAAGGGGTGGAAGATTGTTCTGGGATAGGGAAGGTGCTGCCACAGTCGAGCAAGTCACATCTAAGGCAAATGGTAATGATTCGTCCGGGATTACATTCTTGCTCGGGAGGTTAGGTGATACATTCACCATTTTCCCGTCTTCACTACGGCTGGTCTGGGGATTCTTGCAACCAAAAAAAGTTGTTTATGTTGTTGAGGGCCAGGGGCGGAGATTAATATCCAACATTAAGCGGGTGAATTTGCAAATCGTAAATTACCAATGAATAACACCTACAATTTTAGATGCCAAGGGTAAGGTGGAAAGCTATTTGGATGTTGATTTGATGAGTTATGAGAAATTTGTTAAATCCAGTTTGGGGATAAATGCATGGTAATGGGGAAAGATGGTCCTGGAATTGGCACTGACATTGGATTGTCGAGGAGTTTGTATGTATGGTTGTATATTGTTAGTCATTGGTATAGAGTATATATCTAGGGATTGAAATTGAACTCCCAAATAAAAATCAACCCCCAAAATCGAGACTGTTATTACACTTTGGAGGTCTGGTGTTTAAAGCATCTTATTTGGATAATAAGCGGAAAAGTATCTCGAGGATAGACATTGAGACTTTACCATACCAACTGAATCATCCCAGCTAAAACCCATGGCAAAATTCCAAATCACGACCCTCCCACATTCATCTAAAACAGCTTAATCGTCAAGTTCCCACCCCAACGCAAAACCTCGCTCTTTCTCCACTTTCTCAACTCTTCTACAATATCAACCTCCTGCACTCCTTCATTCTCTTTTCTTACCTTCTCTTTCCCCATCCCCGTCGCCGTCGCGGAGGAAACATCCTCCTGACTCAGAAACGAAAAATCCCGAGCTAATTCTTGGTGATACGCATCCGCGTCCTGATCATTCGTAATTGAACGTCCACCACCACCAGTACCGTAGTGGGCAACTCGCTCCTCGGGTAGAAACTCGAGGATGAGGTTTCGCAAGCCGGGGTAGAGGGGGGGAGCGCGTCGGTTTGTGAGGGGTTTTTGGGTGGAGAGGATGTCTTGGATGGTTTGTTCTTGGGTGGTGAGGCGGTGGAGGAGGTGCTGGAGAGGAGGGAGGAGGTTGGGGTTTGTGGGTGATGGTGAGGGCGATTTGCGAGGTAGGGAGGTTAGGGTTAGGGTGTGTAGACGGGGGGTATTGAGGGGGTCGAAGGGGGTGGTGTCATCTGGTGGGGTGGGTGTGATTGGGGACTCGTCGGAGTAGGAATGGGAGTTTTTGTTGAAAGGTTTGGTGGTTGGTGGTTGGAGTGTTACGATAGAGTGGTGGATACGGAGGACTTCTAGACGCGGCTGCCATTTTCGAGAGAGGTAGGGGATGCTGTGTTGGTGTGTGTCGGTGTCGATGCTGGATGGATTGGGGCGGGTGGATCCGATGTCTAGGACTTGTAGGGACTGTGAGTTGTAGGTATTAGTACCGCTTGTTAAGAAGGGGGTTTAGGGGGGGGTAAATAAAAAAGATGAGTTGATGCTGGATGGAGAAGGAAGAAGTGTATACATTCTGAAGCTTGAAACGGAAATTGGAGGCGAGAAACAGAAGTAGACATTGGATGAGAGGGACTTGATGAATCAATCAAGCTTACATTAGTGCTAGCGAGGAGGATTTTAGATGCAAGAGCTGTGAATTTGTTGTTTGATATGTATAGGTGAGTTAGGCCTGTCACCAGTAAAAGATTATCTTCAGCATTATTTCTTCGCTGAAGGATATTTATTCCGTGTCTAGAACTTTCGACGTCATGAATACTATCAGGGCGAAGTGTAGTTATTGTCCTCGGAGACGAATCGCTACTTTCATTCACCTCACTATAAACTGGAGGGTCTTCAAACAGCTCATCATCTATTGCACAGAATGGACCATGTTTGTAATCTGGTAATCGTCCCAGGAAACACCCTCGTATCAGAGGGTAGATTACATTATCAGTCAAGAGATTATCACGAAGATCTAGAGACCAAATCTGTCCTCTAGAGTTGGTCACGATGGGTGGTAACATGGTATCTGTCAATCTCAGACATCGCAGCTTCAAGATCCTCAGTTTGGGAAGATTCTGTTGGGTGAACATGGCTCTCCAGTTTGTGCTGCGGGCAGTCTCGGATGCGTCGAGATATATCAGGTTTTTGGTTATATTGTGGTTGAGAAGCAGGGAGTAGTTGAAGGTATTGCAACCAGCTGCGCTCATGAATTCTGGCTGTGGTGATGCATGATCATCATCTGGCAAGTCAGCACCGGTAATCACGCCATAGTCTTCAGAGCACGTTGGTGCGAGAAGAATGCAATTGAGATTTGAAAAATTCTTGAAGAACTTAAAGAACCACTCGGGCTTCAGATGGGCCCCAAATACAATGCAATCTTGCGTTTGAGCTCTGTCACGTCTGATCTCGTGGAGTGCACGCAGGTCGAGAACTCGAACTCTCTTGAGCGTCTTGAGATCATGTTTTGTAGAGGCAAGGAAGAATTTGGTAACAAGTCCTGGATCTAGTCAGTGGATAACTTTGTAACTGGTAAGATTGAGTGCTCACTACATGGCTCTTTTCTTTGGGCTACGTCTCTGAATGGGTTAGCCCAGAGATAATTGCCAAATTTCTCGTTGAAGTGAGAATTGACGAGACAGCCAAGGTAGAGATCGGAGGTGTTGAGATACCGAGCGGCGAGGGTGGTAACATCTTTGTTGAGCTCATGGTATGCAGGGAGAGGATCCATATTGACTTAAATTGCCTGATTCAATCTCTGGAATTAATCGTAAAGCTCCGTGTTTGACATGGAAACATTGCTGTCAACAGCCTAAAACTTTGGAGGAATTCTAAGAAAGTGCACACAAGCGATACATCCCCATCTTTCCAATAATCGGCCCATCGTTTGGAGATTTGATGATGAGATGTTTGCAATGTTTGCGATGACCCGAAACGTGATCGCTGAAAATTTACCATCAGTAGTATGCTGATGAAGATTCCAATATTGCTGTGGCTATGCTCGGAGGTCGGAAACCCCAACCATCACCAATAAAGAAGTTTGGGGCAGATGGCTGCTTTAACGATCTTTGGACAAGATCTTACTCCCGATATCCATCAATATCGATAAAGAGTAGATATTACTATTTGGGCCGAAGGATACGAAATATGAAGTTTTTGATACGAATCTGAGCCCGTGGTAATTGGTTAAAATTTACTAAGGCGGGTTGTGGCTCTTTAATATTCAGTTAGTGCTACTATCCTCAGACTACTGAATTACAACGCCATCGCTTAACAGAGACCTTACTAATCAATGAAAACATTAGAGATTCTCATCATTTTGATTCCTTCTTTCTACATAATTATTCAATCCTTTCTATTTTGATAAAAATAAATAACACATCTTTTATATATTTATATAATCTTATAAAAGAAAACTCATATTCTCATAAATACTAAGAATTTGATTTAATATATCTTTTAATTATAACTTATATAAAAGTTATTTATTAGATCTATTTCGTTTTTATAAATGAAATATAAATTTATTTATAAATTTAGTTAGTATGTTTTTGATCATTTTTTTTTTATATAAAAATACAATTAAAATATTTCTAATTATTTTTCCTATAATTTTTAATTTTTAGATTTAATATAAAGATCTTTATATATAATATTATTTATAAAGTTATTAATTTTCTTGCTCAATACATTGTTACGCCGGTCCATCCTCGGTACCGCGTCACATGACTCTTAGCACGTGATGGACCCTGCATGACAGGCATAACGGAATGTAGGTCCATACAGACCAAAGGTCCAGGACCTCTCTAGGTCCTGAACGCTCCAGTACAGTACGAAGGTCTATATAAGGGAATGGGATTTCATTACAATGTAGAGCTTCGTGCTCAAGAACAATCATTAGTTTCATTACTATAGTTACGAGAATTGCAACCAGTTACCAACCTTATTGAATTCCTACTTGAAGTTTAGTCTAAACCACCTCGAGAGAACTCTAGACACTTCCACGTGACCCTAGAGGCAGCTCCCGTAACATACATGTGTCACATTGGCGCTGTAAGTTAGCAGTCTAGGGGATAATAATCACTACGAGTCCTTAAACGAAATTCTGTCTATTATTTGATGGTCTGCTCTTACATCACCGTCCCACAGCGATTGTTTGCAGCTGGTTTGAATGAGTTGGAAGTCCTCCTCTCAATGTTATTTGACTATTGCCATTCCATGGTGAATTTTACGCCTTTCGATTAACATGCTGACCAAAGCAGGTTAATTAACTGGTTGACTCTATGTGGGGAAACATGGGGAGCTTCAATACTATATATAGAGGTCGCTCAGAATCGTGCCTGTGATGTGTTACTATCGATACAAGACAGCGAACATATGAAATCCCACTCTGTTCATTGTCCCAAAGAATCTACTTCCTCATCAACATCATGCATCTCGTAAATTGCAACGCCGAGAAGCGACCAGAGGTTTTACGTGACTTCATCCGTCAGAACCCCCTTGGTATCCTAACAACTGCGATCAAATCGGAGTCGTATCCATTGCTTCAAAACAGTCACATTCCCTGGATAATCGATGCGGAGTTTGATGGGAATACAAGTGGTCTTGGTAGACTTCGCGGTCACATTGCACGACAGAATCCTCAGTCAAAAGCCATCATAGAAAGTTGCACAGCAGACGACAAGTCACCAGCATCAAGTGTTCTTGAGAATGACGTTCTCGTATTTTTCAACGGACCAGTTCATCACTATGTGACACCCAAATTTTACAAACAAACTAAACCTGATACTGGGAAAGTAGTTCCTACCTGGGATTACGAAGCTGTGGAGCTTTATGGTAAAGCAAAGGTTTACTACGATACAAAGTCAGCCGAATCCGGGGCATTTCTCGCAAAGCAGATATCTGATCTCTCCGACCATATGGAGACGTCGGTAATGGGTTATGGCAAGACTGCAGGAACGCATCCATGGAAAGTGGAGGATGCACCTGAGCGATATATTGAATTGCTCACTAAGAACATCATTGGTATAGAAATTGAGATCGCTTCTATGTCGGGGAGATTCAAGTGGAGTCAAGAGAAGAATGTTAATGATCGAGCTGGTGTGATGGAAGGATTCAGAAATCTAGATACGCCTGGCAGTACACTACTCTCTGAGAAAGTCGAAACCTATGCTGCTATTTTTGATGCAGATAAAGCAGCAAAGAAGGCAGAAACATAACCATTTGAATGAGGGAAAGTTGTGTGTCCTAAAACTCAGTGTCGTTGTTTTATATATAATACCCTTGCTTTCTTTGGCCTCATTAGATCTCGACAGTAAGTTCGATAGTCGATTGAGATTACTCTTGTATGTGCTTTGGGTTGCAGCCTTCGAGTTGAAGTTATTATGTGTTTAGGAACACTTTAGTCAACCGTAGTCTTCTATCAAAATCGTCTTTCCTCTTCAAGATTCAAACGGAAAGCAAATCTACTTATATAATACGAAGCATAAAAAATGATGAGATCCCAGTATCAGAAGCGGGATCTACCACCAGATTCTGTTCTCCATTAGGACTCGGCATACTTGAGTCCAGTGCATACCCTCGCACCTATGGGTGAATCTTCAAAGAACGGCTATTGCATAGATACTAATGGTACACTATCTCTTTAATACCAAAATTTGACAACTAAGAAATGTGGAAAATAACAAGACTGCAAAACTACAGTGGTAATCATCTTTAAGGCAATATTCGGATGAAGCCTGATATTATTGATCGATCTCAACAGCTGATCTAGGATCATATGAATATCTCTATATGGCTCCCGGCTACCGTAAGTACTCTCAGTAATTATAGAATCTGATGATGGCTGCAATTGAACTTACCGAAGTCGTCACATGCGGAGCCATTATAGTGAAAGTCAACGCAATTTGGGACGGGATTCGTTATCCTCTATAGGCAAACAACGAGCCGCATTTTCAATCACCGAGCTGATCAATCATCCAGCAGATTTGGGGTCATTGTATACATGCCAGTAATATAACGGATAATATAGCAACCCAAAGTTACACGATCCATAACGACCTGATTCTGATATGTCTCTCACTCGGGAAATTACACAATCTATGGCTTGAAGCCTCTTGATCTATAACATACATCGGTCTATACGGACGCGATCAATATACTCGTGACCTCTCTCGAGCTTGAGACTTCTATCCACGCAAGGGGTCAATTTGACATACGACAACGGCTATACATAGTCTGAGATATCAGAATTGGATGAAATGAATGAAGATTGATGCGGACTAATGCACTGGCGGACGCATCATGTGTATGCAAATGTGTGTAGCCGTCGTACCTGCAGTATGAATTGCATGTTCTTGGTAATGACGGTATCGTGAGATTACCTTGTGTAGGTATCTTCACTTTTTGCCACAGGTTACGAAAAGAACTAATTTACCTGCATGTTATCACTGACATTTCTCTCACTCATGCTTTGTGTGCGTCCTGAAAATTGAAATCAAACACTTGATCATTTAGATAAAGTTCAATATTAAGTGAATATACGACAATATCAACTCTTTCACAAGCTCCAATGCCCCGAAAAAGGTCCAGCCAAGTACAATACAGCCCAATACAACCAACCAATACCAATACATCTAAAAGCTAGAATACGAAAGTTCCGTCTCCTGTAGCTCTTGTATAATTCTCCAAATGCTTCCGCTTTATTTTTCCATAATAAATAAGTATAAATGTGCCAATCAACCAAAACACGGTTGGTAATAATGAAAGTGAATGCCTTTTTGACGAGATATCTCCTGCGCTTTTTCGCTTCATCTACAACCCCCCGACCATATTTTCTCAGGTTGAATTAACAAAATAACAATGTTTGCTGTTTCCTCATCTCAAAGCTGTAAGTAATAAAGTTTTCTCCCGTTGATACAAAGTCTTTGAACACTGATATCAAAAAGCACCCACCCGATTCCTAGTCGTAGCCGGTTTTGAATCCGAGTCTTCATGCTTGCGACTCTTTTTACTCATTGACTCCCATACTTTATCAGCGTCTGGGTGCCATTCAGTTCGAGCGGCCTTCCTATCCCGCTTCCTGTGAAGATCGACGTGTGATTTCAGATTATCTGTACGCCCAAATTCCTTCACGCAGAAGGGACATTTGTGTTTGGGGGCAAGCTGGTCGTGTGTATGTTCATGTCGCTTGAGGTGTTCCTGTCGTTGAAATTTCCTGTTACATCCAGGGTGGAGACAAGGCAGCTTGTTTCTGTTTTGCACTCGTATTGGTACTGTTTCTCGCTTGATCTTCCTACGGGTTGTTGCTTTTGTTGGGGTGACGGCATGTATTCTTTGCAGAGCAGCTGCACTTCGAGGGCTGTCGAAGTACGATCCTCGAAACTCTTGTTGTCCTATAGGAGAGATTGAATCTTGTCTGAGGTCTTTATAATTTGGTGGTGGAGGGAGATATCCTGTGGTAGAAGTCCCTGCGGGCGAATTGTTGTAGGAACTCTGAGTATTGAAATCTGATGAGGGTGTTCCAAATTTGATAGGTGTGAGTGGACCGATTGGAGAAGACTGAAAATCGGCAAACGTGTCAATTAAAGTTGTTTGTGCTGGGTCCACATAATCCATGGCTCCCAAAGATTCAGACGTTGAAGTTGGTGAATACAAATCGTCCATAAGCGATGGGATATCACTTGAAGGACAATGTGTTTCAAACGACCCAAAGGCAGCAGGTGCGTAACC